GCAGAGGTCGCAAACGAGTTTTGATTCCTTACCCGTACCCGTACCCAGCCGCACCAGGGTCGCAAATGGGTACCCGTACCCGGCTGGGTAGGGTACGGGTACCAGTACCCGTACGGGTACGTGTACCCGTACGGGTACCAGTACCCGTACCCGATACCCGGCCGGGTACGGGAGGCCGGGTACGGGTAGCCGGGTATCGGGTAGGGTACGGGTATCGGGTACCCGATTGCGACCTCTGGGATGAAGCCATGTTGCAGGCGCGGGTGGGTTGATTCTAGGAACTTGAGTTGTGAGAAGAGACAAGACGTTAGGAAATGAGTGACAAACGGTTACTCACCAGTGACTCACGGCCTACCGTACCCGTACCCGGCCGCACCAGGAGGGGCTGGGTGGGGAGGGAGGTATCGGGTACCCGATTGCGACCTCTGGTGGGGAGGGGCTGGGTGGGGGGTGGGAGGGGTGGGGCTGGGTGGGGAGGGGCTGGTCACCCCGTGGTCCCCTTATAAAACTCAACGTTTAACCTACTCACGCCAGCTTGTGCCCGCCCTCACAGTGGGCATATTTGCGGAATACACCACGCCGCCGTTGACCCTGGCCATTGACCGAGCAACCCAACGTTCCTACCAGCTCCCTCTGCAGGAATGTGTTTGCGTGTCACATATCTCGAGAATTCTCATCGTGTTCTGGAAACTACTAATAATAGTAGCAGGCTCCTTCTGTATGCCGTGAATGTCTGGGAGGTAGGTGTGACATTTCGCTCTTCGTACCGGACTGTGTTGGCAGGACAACCGAGGCGAGTCCACCTGGCCACATTCCATAGACTGCTGGCGTGTGGTCGCCGCTGGTGCACACACACACACGTGTGTCTGTGTGAAACATCAGCCCTCATTCCCTCCTCTCCTTTGCTAGACAATAATGTGCGGAGGTGATTTTAACTGCTGTTGTGTGTTCACTTTATGTCCTCCCAGTGTTGTAACACAAGTTCTGTTTACATTGCTTCTCTCTCGATGTGTGTTATGCACTGAATTTTCTATTCTGCCTTCTTGTGGGACCAGTCAAAACATTAAATTCAGTCTTGCTTTTTCATTACATATCCAAAATATATAACTTTGCATTTCTATCATTATTATTTTACATTTTATTTTTGTACCTGGTATTCCTTATACATTTAGGTCACCCATCTTGGGCACCATGGTGGTGAAATGTTAACTACATCGCTTGGTATGGGGGTGGTCGTGGGTTCGATCCTTTAGAGTTTGCTTGTCTCTCTCCCCGTGGTCACGTGGATTTTTCTCCGGGTCCTCCGATTTTTCCATCCATATTTAGAAATATGCATTTAGAGTATTTGGCTGCTATATATTTCCACATAAGTCACTTCATTGAGCAGTAACAAAGAGGATATAACAAAAACGAAAAAGTGTGCAAGGAAGCGTAGAGAGATGGGTGTTGGAAATGAAATCAAGAGAAGTGAATAAGATAATGTATTGCAGGTGAAAGACACCATTGTAACTTTTTGATTTAAAGCTTTCGTGACTGCAGGATTCATATTGTAACTGTGAAGAAAAGTAAGTGGGCTTGGCAGGGACACGTCGCTGGGAGAGATCAGAATCAAAATTAGAATTTGATTTGGCGCTTTCGTGACTGCCGGAATTACTCTTTGGTTCTTTTGGTAAAGTCATGTAGAAAGAGAAAATAATAAATTTAATAATAGCATACGACGTTTCGATTGCAACACAAGCAATCATCATCAGGTACAAATGAAAGAGAAAACAAACATACTAAACTTAGAAATATAATGCAATACAACACAGATAGTCGGCTAACATAACAGTCAATTTAAGAGAGAGATAAAATACAGAACCGGAGACACATAGACAGACACATAAGCAGAGAGAGATAACACAGACACACACAGAGACACACACATAGACACACAGAGAAAGCCAAATCAAGTTTGAACCACCTCTCCGTGGAGGTTTTAAGTTTGTTTTCTCTCTCTCTGTGTCTCTGTTGTCTCTCTCTGCCTGTGTGTCTGTCTTTGTGTCTCCGTGTCTGTGTCTTGTCTCTATTTCAAATTTTATACTTAACTTCTAATTTAGCAATCCTTGGAAGAACGTAACCAACCAGGCCATGCGTTAATTGTGTGTTGACCGAGTCTGTGTTGCATTGCATTACATTTCCAAATTGTACTAAGTTTGTTTGATTTAGTGTGGTTTCTCTCTCTCTCTCTGTCTCCCCTCGTTTTGTTGCTCTTATTTCCTGCAGTTACGCCAAGTCTCTCATTGACATTTCTCTACCCCCCTCCCTCTCTCTTTGCCCCCCTCTCTCTCTATTTAAGGCCTCGACACAGAGGCGTTGTTTCTCTGTGTGCCTATGTGTGTCTCTCTGTGTCTCTGTGTTATCTCTCTCTGCTTATGTGTCTGTCTATGTGTCTCCGGTTCTGTCTCTCTCTTAAATTGACTGTTATGTTAGCCGACTATCTGTGTTGTATTGCATTCGATTTATAATGTTAAATTAACATCACTAGACCCAGCCACTTCTTTATGACCCTTAGGCCACACCCATTTCAAACCTGTTGACTGTTATGTTAGCCGACTATCTGTATTGTATTACATTATATTTATAAGTTTACTAGGTTTGTTTTCTCTTTCATTTGTACCTGATGATGATTGCGTGTGTTGCGTTCGAAACGTTGTATGCTATCATTTAATTATTATTTTCTCTTTCTACTTGACTTTACCGAAAGAACCAAAGAGTAAAAATATTTATTTATTCTGGAGGAATCATGTGATGGCCTAGGTTCAAGAACAGTGACGGAGTGGCAGCCAAGGAATGGGAATTGACCATGAACACATCCAGCAGGGGTGCGGAGCGATGCCCTCGTTACGTGTGCAGGTGCTGGGTTGATTGTTAGCATTGAAGCATTGTGAGAGAGATGGTGGCGGCTTTTCAAGGCCTCCATGCAGCAGTGGATTGATGGTAGCTGCTGATGATGGGGAATACCCTTTGCTACTAAACCTTATTTTACTTTAAAAGAAAAATATGCATGCATCCACACGTGAAAGGTCATGGTGAGGGTGTGTGCGTGTGCGTCTTTGGGGAGCGGTAGTGTCGCAGTTAGTGCACAGCGCTACGAACCCAGTAACCTGAGTTAGATGTATGCCGCGGCCACCACCAGTGACGATTTTTTTAACCGGCCCTGGGCCTCCCCTAGGTCGACTCAGCCTCAAATGAGTACCTGGTGCGGTGTGTAAACATCGGTACTCGGGAGGCAAAGGTGGCCGGGCTTGGTGCTGGCCACCCGCCACCCCCTCGTGTGCTGTGCCAGCCTTCATAGGTGCTTGCTAACAGCACTTGCTCCTATAGTCTGTTAAGGCTATACTGGGGATCTTTGTCGCGTGCGTCTTTGTGGCTTACGCATCACAACAACATAGAGGTAAACATCAAACAGCAGGATCAATGGACGCGGTTACCACTCGTCCTGTGCAGTCGAGCGTGGCGGCACGCACGCGGCCCACCACCCATCGCCTCCTCCCCCTGTGTCGCTCACGTATTGGCCACTCTCTCTATATTTCCGCCTCATACCTTGGAGCTCTACCAGGCACTTGCCCCCGGGCCGCCCCTTACGCAGCTGTATTTCATTCATAGCAATAATAATAGTTCAATCTATTTGGTATTCGTACCATTCTTACAGTGGAGGACAATCACGAAGGAAGGTGCTGTGTTTCATAGAAGAACATAGTCTGCCAGTAGGGGGCGATGTTGTTGTGTGTAATTCCAATTGTCATTGATCAAATTTGACCAATTTGGAGCGTGACGGCAGCACACAATGGCCCACTCATTTCGAATGACACCAGGATATCTTTATTGTCCACTGCGAAGCAGACAGCGCGTAGTGTGTCTGCGGTTAATACACCTACAGTAATAACCAGGGTGGCCTGCTGCATTTACACCACGAACCCTTTGCAACAAGCAGCGTATACGCTAGCGCTGGGCCCATGCTATCGCTGTGCCGTGCTACCACTGGGCCATGCTAGCGTTGGGCCACATCACTGCTGGGCCGTGCTAGCACTGGGCTGCATCACCGCTGGTCCATGTCACCGCTGGGCCGTGCTGCCACGGGGCCGTGCTAGCATTGGGCCACACCACCGTTGGGCCACGCTAGTGCTGGGCCACATCACCGCTCGGCTGTGCTAGCGCGGGGCCGCATCACCGCTCGGCCGTGCTAGCGCTGGGACGCATCACCTGTGCTAGCGCTGGGCTGTGCCAGTACTGAGCCGCATCACCGCTGGGCCGGGCCAAGCGCCTGGCTACGCTACCATTGGACCACGCTACCACTGGGCATCGTTACTCCTCGGCCGCCAAGTCACCGCTATTTGTTTCACTGACTCTTCCGCGTTTCACTTCACTCAACGTGGATGCAACTTTGCGCCGCACTACTTTTCTCACCCCCCCCCCCAACTCGCAAGGCATGAAGCAAGGGGTTTATGTAGATTCAGTGTTTTTAGCCATCCCGTTGCATTGCAAATGTCCAATGTATACTGTGGTTGTGCAATTCCTCGCTAATTCAGAGTAGATAAAAAGTCACCGTTGCTTTGCACGCTGTTCAAGTTTTCAACATTGGAAGTGCAATGTTTTAGTTTCCCCTGCAATTGCAGTTCCCCAAGAAACACTGTTACTAACTGCGGAATGCGTTATATCCACTCACATTATTTAGAGAACACCCCATACATTTTTACCACTGAGTTCTGATAACATGACCTACACATCATTCAAGCCAATCCATGGAAATCCCTTTTATCAACACAATTTCTTATTTGTGACATTGCCCCCTAAAAGTTTGCAGACAATAAAGACTTGCACCAAAAACTGGAGCCAGGGTTGTACGACACTGATGCTCTGTGTTGTGCCAGTTTCTGGCGCCAAATTGTCTTGTCAGTATGGAAACCCTGTTGTGACACCCCTACACCGTGCCACATGTGTGGCCTTTGTGAAAGCAGCGGAGAGACTTCCCCGCCTTCGTCCGCGCCGACTCGAGCAGCACGTACGTGGGCGAGCAGCGCTCCAGCATCAACCTCCTGGTGTCCAACCTGGAGAGCCTGCCCGTGTCGCGCGGCCACGGCGACACGGGCCGCCTGCAGAAGCCGCTCAAGCGCTACTACCCCTCATCCCTGCTGGACCCCGGGGAGGACTCGCGCAGCGCCCTCCTCAAGTCCGAGATTGCACTGTCATTCACCCTCGAGGTACGTAGGTACATGTGTAGTATCTCGGCCTCGCTGTGCGCTGCCTTGCACCGCTAGTCGAGTAGATAACCTTGCGTTCAATAAACCCTCGGAGCCAAGATGAACGTCCAACTCTAATCGTCATTTATTGATTGTAACAAGGTAAAACTGGTGAGAAAACACAGATACAGCATCTGTTATAATCCGGAAACACCAACACAATGAACACCACAGCATCAGAACATTGTCTTAGATAACAATAGATCCTGGATGGACCGGGCCCCTACATTACCACTGAACAACTAGACAAAGCACAAGCCGGTGCGTTGCATACAGGCACATCGTGTATTCATCTCACTGTACCCCAAATGTACAGCATTACACATAACACTAAACTGTGGATGAGATACTTCGTCATCTTTACTCTCAGGATCGCAAACATAGGCACAAGTCTGACTCAACCTACTAAATCACAAGTAACATCCACAATAAGGAAAGTCGCAGGCTTCGTTACTAACTAGGCCTCGTATTTACTACAACAACTTAACGGCACCATAAAGGCATTTACATCACTATAACGGTCATTCCAACATTACAACAGCATTGCCAATATTATAGGAATATAAACAACTTACAGACAATGCTTCTTAAGCTCCCACAATGGACAAGTGCGGCTGTGGTCTCACTGAGATGCGATGCGTGCCGCCATCTTGACTTATCTGTGTAATGGCCAACGCCCGCGTGGTACAGTGGAAATCTAAAATCGTAACTTCCTGGTCACGTGACCAAAATTAGCATAAAAAAACAGGAACTTCCTGTGAACGTACGCTCCACATCTGCCGTGAGGCAAGACATGTAGTGTTGTAAATATAGGCGGACGATTTCTTGCCTTCTGTCCGGGCCACTTTATTACAGTTCGTTACATAACACTTGTTAGCTAAGCCGAGGATTCACCGCCCATCGCTCGTTCGCTCCCTCACTCACCGCGTCCTTATCCTATTTCCTACTCTCCTTCCCTATCCTATTCCCTACTCTCCTTCCCTATCCTATTCTCTACTCGCCCCATTTCACCCCTCCCGGCTGCCGTGTCTCGCTGTCTCAGCGGATTGACACCACGGCAGCCCAGGGGGTCAAGCTTGCCGACGTACTGCGCTTACCCCTAGCGACCCTATTCTATCCTGCCCAGGTCCACACAGGACTACTCTCAGCCTAACTAGCTTGGCGGGTCCGGCTTCAGCTTCTGTCATCTTCTGTCTTCATCAACTCAACTCCCAGGCTCGTTTTGCCCGTCTTATATATTCCTCGCGACCCCTTCCAGAATATTCTCTAGAGGACCCTCTATGATTGGTGGATACTGATCTTATCAAATCCCGGTCCACCTTCCCCCTTGTTTATCCCAACAGAACTACCCCAACGGTCGTCCTGACCTTAGCTGCTCTTACATCCCCCCAATGATGCTCACCAACCGCCTCTTCTGGCCACCCAGCGCGGACATGTAGTCGTTCCCGAATATGCGCGCGCTGAACCACGACACGTGTGCATGTTGAACTTTTCTGTGCCGGATGTAGCCAACTGTGGGCTAATCAGTGGGGGGCAGTGCTAATTACCGCCAAGTCAGCGAAGGTAGAAAGTGACAGATCTTTGGTGCGGTGACGTGGCCCAGCCATTGTGCACTTGCGGTTTGCATGGTTTTCGCCGTGACGTCAAGGATCCCCTGACGTTATTAAAAAACGAGTCGGCAATTGTGTGCCGGTTTCACGATCCAAATTTGAAAAAATTGCACCACCGTTTACTCAGTTGGGATGACACATCGCAACATTGCCCCCTAGTGTGAAACTATTGTGGACTATGTTCCACATACAGTAGCATCTTTGTTCACGATAGCCTCACGCTATAATATTTGCATGAATACCAAATTCACTAAACTATGAATTATTATTTTTAACTTGTTCACAGCTATAATGTCTATAAATTTGTCTTTTTAGCATAACAGAATTACTAAGTGTTAGTCTATCTGCTTGTTGCTACAACAACATAATATTAGAGTGGTTGGCTACGTGCGGTTTGAAAGAAGTTTAACATACATACATACACCATCTTTCTGAGATTGCCCAGTGTTTATTGAATTACTGATACTTTAACATATACATGTTACAGCCCTTTTGTCAATCCACTGCTGTATAAGGGTTTCCCCATGCCGTACGGTCATGGTGTTATATTTGACCATACTTCACCACGCTGGTTGGTGAAGCAGGAATCCATAGATGGTGAGAGCATAGTTTCGTATAACGATTGATTTTTATACGCTGCTTTCAATGTACTAGACGTCTGTGAAAAAAAAGCGTTGTAGCTCATCAGATTCCTCCAGTATAAAGATATATTCTGAAATGTTCTGATGTAATCCCATGGGTGATAATGAACAATAGACTTCATTTCACCAGGTGAGGACCAATGGAGATAACAAAAAGTCTCGTTTTTTAAGGGTGACCTGGGTCAACAGCTGATGAGAGTCTTTTTCAAACCGGTGCAAAGCACAGCAGCACGAATTACTTATCGCAAAACACTTTCCCTTTGAGCAAACAGGAATGCGGGCGTTGGGTTGTATATCCATACAACAAAGTAATGCCGCTCATGCTTGGCTTCTGCTGTTCACTCACAGTAGGTTTCATGAAAAGGCAGATTGTTACCATTGCACTAACAAATGCAAACTCAATGCTATTATAAAAACATGGTGCAAAATGTAATAAAATAAGGTGGAATTTAGTTATAAACAAATTACCTTCAACTTTGCACGTGAAGTATCTGGATTGCTATGGGAAACCGCCGCGTTAGTGGGCCCGGGACGTTCACTGCGGAAGGGATGCCGAGAGTTGTTCCGACTACCATGGGTGATGGCCCATTCACTCCTGGCGCAGTGTCTCAAGGATTTGCGACGCTGTACTTGGACGGTGTGTGCCTCTGCTGTGCAAGGTGGTGGTGATGGAGGTGCTGGGCTTGCGGTCGCTCACAGCCAACCGCACCGTGTACTGCACCATGGAGGTAGAGGGAGGGGAGAAGCTGCAGACTGAGCAGGCCGAAGCTTCCACACCAAAGTAAGATAAATGTGCTCTCCTTTCTTGAATCTAACCACACGTTTCCTTGCATCCGTGTCCCCCTGCACTGTAGCTTATGTTGCAGCTCTCGGCAAGGAAAATCTCAGCACAAGCAGGGACCTCTGAAAATGCTTAATTTCCTGGACAGACTACTCTTATTGTTATTTTTATGAGCAAATTCCTCTTTTTCATATCAAAAACGATCTCACCACATTCATCATTGACACTGCTCCACTACAAGAATTTAATTAATAGTATTATATGCATAGATGTACTGTTAAATTGGCAGGGCAATTAATTAGTAATTTCTGTGAGGATTTCTCAAATCCATAGTAAGTGTGATTTTGAATTTTGCTTTATGCTTACCAGCGACTTCCTACAATCATTGGAATGGCTCCACAGAATGTAATTGAAATTTATAAAGTTGGGCATAAAAAAAGCGTTCCCTCATAGACAGGCTATCTGGATAGAGGAGGAGTTTTCCTTTCCCATTAGGGAAGATGTGCAAGGCTCCAGCAAACGCACTCCCCAGCTTTTGCCTTATGTGCTTCTTGGTTGATTCCTTGACTTGGACAATGCCTAGGGAGTTCATTGAAGAAACCAGTCTAGAAGTGAGATCAGTCATTATCATCACTTGAGGATTGCCAAAAAGCTCCACCCTGATGAAGAGGAACAGCTCATTATATGACTGATTCACAGCAGCTTCGTACTGGGCTGCAGCATCATTATCTTCATTGCTGGCAACCTCTTCTTTGGAAACCTCATCTTTGGTGTGCAGTGGAGAGCATGGCCTGTGGTAGTGCCCTTCAGCTACTACAAGGTTTCTACTCAATGGCAAGGATTCTGCTGTTCGTTTTATTTGTGGCTGCACTCCCGATCTTTGCTCATATTCTCTCTCTTGGCATATTTGTTGGTTTTCTGACAAAATATGCACTCTGTGTCATAAGTCCTCGACGTGTTTGGGGCATGTCGAGCTGTTCTCTTAGTTTATTTCTCTTCAGCAGAGCCACTGGCACTTTGCTTTTCTTTTTCAAGGATGCCATCAAGAACTTTCTTCATAGTGAAGATACTGCGACACTTTCTGTGGTAGTAGATTTCTGGAATCTCTTTTGCCAGTTCCAAAACTGGTGCATGATTTCGTATCTGAGCTGCCCTGAGCAGAGTTCTCCAGGAGTCAACACTTTGTGGTGACACCAGCTTATCTGTATCATCAGAACAGTTGATGATGCACTCCAACCATGGTCGCTTTGGTAGTGGGTTGTTACTTGCTTGTTTCACCGGTGGCCATATTCAGTCAATTTTCACCTGCACCATACAGTACAATCAGAAATCATCATTACTTTGGTGCAAAACCTGAATTAATCCGTCAGTACTTTGGTTAGACATTGTCAGAAGCAGAGAGTTACAACCCAAAAGCAAAACTAACATTGATTAAGGGTAAAATTAATTTGAACTAATCTTAACTAAATTAAGGGGAGGTACTACAGGTGAATAGGCAAACAAAAATTCCTGTCCTTTAATCAGAATGAAAAATGACCATATGAATATACACCCAAATTTAAGGTTTTTTTTGTATTGTGACTTTCCCCCCATTCATTTATGCATATTAGGTGTTATCTCATTAAATATGCACAAATTTGCATATTATATAAAACACAATATTGACTTAGTAGATGAAGTCAGATCTTTTTGGTTTGTTTTAATGTGATCAATAACTTATCGGTTGGTAATCTACAGAGGCTTTTGTCAAAATATTGTTCTTTCAGTTAATGATGTTAAAATACACTTCACACATGTTAGAAAACAAGATTTTCGCCAATTTTTTAAAAGATATAATACCACATAAAATGAAAATGACAAAATATATCAAAAAATCCGTCTGAACATTTCTAGCTATTCCAAGTAGGAAGCAGTATGTAGAATGATGTGGCTTTACCTATTAGGAAACATGAGTTGTTAAACTCGGCATGCAAAATGTAATTTTGAGAATATCGCAATGCCAGTTCTGGAATTGTGATTCTCGTAGCAATGAGATTTGAGAGTTCTACTTGTGTTCTCCTTCGTATTGCCATGAAAGCAAGGTAAATAGCCATATATGACTAAGCGAGACATCTGCTCCAGAGAATAAGCTTTTCAATGATATGCAATTCAACTAGGTTATTTCTTAAAATGCGGAGACAAATTGCGATGAAAGATGCTAAAAAACGCTAATTTAAGGCTTTGTTTACTTGGCGAAGTTTTTATAAAATCGTAAAAACTAACTATTTCGAAGTTATAAATAGTTAGTTTTTCTGATTTTAATAATCAAGTTATTGGTAATAATTGTGTGCATGTTATGAAAGTTCACAATTTATAGAAGCAAAAAAAAAACTGAACAAAAATAATTATTTTTTGCCTGTAGTACCTGGCCTTAACTAATAATCTTAACAGGTACATTAACAATACATTGAGGGTAAAGTTAGCACTTGAGATATCTTTACTGAACAGAAATAATACAGAACCACCAGTACTTTCCTCACCTGCCAGGAAATTATCATCAGCTTTTGATTCCAAAGAACACAGGATGAGATGTTACTATCCTTTGTGCAAGCACTTCCAAGAGTTCATGAACAGTGAGCCTGGTGAAATTTGGGGAGCGCATCGTCAGTAGTGACCCTTTGGTTCCTAGGGTGTTTCGGCCTTTCATACTATACACCCTCCCCAAAGGCGGCCAGCAACAGGGTGATCAATCCTACGCTTGCGTCCCATTCCCAATTAGTCATAGGAGTTGCCTTGTTGTTGGTAGCCAACATCCCATGGGACTATGCATGGCAGGGGCGTCCTCCTCCCTGAGTCAAGCATTGTTAACTGCATACCTCCTGGCCCTCTCACTTTGGGGCCCAGCTGGGGTCTTTCCTCTTCATCCAGAGCCACTGACTGCTGCCTTCTGCCGCCTCCGATACAGCTTTGATTGCCGAACGCTGGCTCTGGCCCTTAATTCCCAGGTCTCTAAGCAGTCTGGTTGTAGATGTTGCCACAAAACCTCTGCAGCTCACCTCCACTGGTCGGACTTCTGTGTTCCAGCCATGATGCCGTGCTTCGGCAGCTAGATCGGCATAGCGCAGATGTTTTCGCTCATAAGCCTCATCTACTGAGTCCTCCCAGGGTATTGTGAGCTCAATGATGAAGACCTTCTTGAGCGAACGGGACCAGAGCACCACGTCAGGTCTTAGGGTGGTGGTTGCGATCTCCGGAGGAAACACAAGTTGCCGGCCAATGTCAGCTAGCATTTTCCAGTCGCGGGCCAAGCGCAGCTGGTCTCGCTCTATTGGTGTAGAGCCGCTCTTCGGTGGTTTAGCCCCTTCGCGGACAAAGGTCGTCCGTAAGGGGTGTGATGCTGCTGGGGGTGGTAGGGAGTTGGTGGCAGCTCGCTTGTCCTCTAGGGTGGACGCAAGGTTTTTAAGGACTTGGTTGTGACGCCAAGTGTAGCGTCCTTGGGTGAGGCTTGTTTTACACCCTGTGAGAATGTGCCTGAGGTTGGCTGGCATGGAACAGAGGGCACAGTCCGGATCTTCACCATACCATTGGTGAAGATTAACTGGTGTTGGAAGGATGTCATATGTTGCTCTGATGGAGAAGCTCAACCGCCTCGCTTCCGTGGCCCACAGATCCTTCCAGCTGATTTTCCTCTTCTCTACACTGTCCCATCGAGTCCACTGTCCTTGTTTGGCAAGAGAGACTGCCTTGGCCCACCTTGCAGCCTCCTCCTGATGGCGTACTTCCTGCACTACCATCTTCCGCCGCTCTGGTGCAGTGGCCTTACTCCAAGCAGCACGGCTAGTTAGCCCAAGGCCTCCTCTCCCTTGCTGAACATGACCCACAATGTCAGCATGTCTGAGGGCTGCTGTTGCCTCCTGGACTGCTTTTCCTGGCCTCCATTTGCGCCCAGTTGCCAAGGTCGGCGCGTTGTTGCTCACCACTGGATCTCGAGATTCATTCAGTGTCATCTGGAGCCTGGTTTTTGCACACTTGAATTCCTCGGTTAGACTGGTGAGGGGCAGCTTGAGGACACCATCTCCATAGAGGCCTATGGTGGTAAGGCATCGTGGAACTCCGAGCTGCTAGAAACAGAAGGAAAACGGATAGCGCCAATCTATTCCAGACTTAACTAAGTCACTGAAATTGAAGAACAAGCGTGAATAAATGCAATAATATGTAAGAAATGCATGCCTTGGTGACAACATCTATTTGTAAATTATACTGGTAGGAACGAAGTGGACCAGCCTACAATAGATTATATCGTCCGTCCGTTTGTCCGTCCATCCGTCCGTGTAGCAACATCGCCCCCTACTGCAAACACTTGGCATGACCCTACAAAAACCTTTAGACTCAGTGAGGCTTTCCTGGCTAAACAAGTGTAAAATTTCCTTATAATTCCCTCAGATAGCTTTTAATTAAAATATTTAAATTAATGAGGCTTTCCTGGCTAAACAAGTGTAACATTCCCTTATAATTCCCTGAGATAGCTTTTAATTAAAACTTTAAAATTAAAATTTAACTCACATCGTCCTAAAGCCTACAGCTAGGCCTAAAGCCTAGACCTGGGCCTCAAACTCTCCCTTCGTATCATACCCCCGCGTGTGTGCAAGGGAGTTAATGTTTAACAATGTTACATTCCCTGATGCTTTTAAATAGAAACATTTAAATTTAAAGCTTTTACATAAATAATAAAAACATTTAAATTAAAAATTAACTCACGGCGGCCTAAAGCCTACAGCTAGGCCTAAAGCCTAGAACTAGGCCTCAAACTCTCCCTTCGTATCGTACCCGCGCGTGTGTGAAAGGGAGTTAATGTTTAACACTGTTACATTCCCTGATGTTTTTAAATAGAAACATTTACATTTAAAGCTTTTACATAAATAATTAAAACATTTAAATTAAAAATTAACTCACAGCGGCCTAAAGCCTACAGCTAGGCCTAAAGCCTAGAAGTAGGCCTCAAACTCTCCCTTCGTATCGTCCGATTAGGTGTAGCAACATCGCCCCCTACTGCAAACACTTGGCAGGACCCTAGAAACACCTTTAGACTCAGTGGGGCTTTCCTGGCTAAACAAGTGTAATAATACATTATGTTTATATTCTTTGGTTATTCGTTCCTACCAGCCCACCCCACAGGGTCCTGTTTTATTGTCTTAATTAACAGCAGAGGTGTTGGAATGTTTTATTTGTAACGTCCGGGCAATTAAGTGTAATTGCGATAGGTGCAAAAACAGGTTTCCTGTGAGAAAAATTAAACAGCTGCTCATTTGGAAAGGTTATCATGTATTATTTTACTTCTGTTGGTGTAACAAATAAAATGGCACCATTGAAGTTTTGCTACCTTTGGCGGTACCGATAGCTGGTCTGGCCCAAGGACTAGCAGATGTAGATGCCACTGTACTCTTTGGTTTTTTTCGGTAAAGTCACGTAGGTTAAAAAAGAAAACAAATACATTAAATCACGACGTTTCGGAGGAAACACAAGCTTCCGTCTTCAGGTGGAACCGTCACAGCAAAATTACTGTATCAAGTGAAGAGAGCTCTAAGAGACACGACCTTATATACTGGTTAAGGGGAGGGGGGAGGAGCCAGGATGGGCCATGGGGGGGTTATAAGCAACTTCAAATCTAGAATAGATGCCACTGGTTTTCATGTTCTGCAGACGTAGATGCCACCACCACCATCTATTGCGCGGTGGTTGAACTTACGACTCTCGGTCCGAACAGGCAACTGGACATACGGACAGGTTTGTTCGTATCTCTGAAAGTTAGTAAGTCGAATGTTCGTAAGTAGAGGAGTCCCTGTAGTGCAGAATGTGAGTTGACTGTTTTTCATGAAATGTAAACATTACAGTTTTCACATTCGTACAATTATCTATTATTTTGGTATTAATAATCATTAGACATGAATAATTGTCTTTGTTTATAATGTATTCTGTTGTGAGCTAATATAATAATAATCATAACACAGTCCTTGTAAATCCACCGCTGAATGAAGGTATTTCCATGCTGTTATTGGTCATGGGAGGGTTGTTTGACCGTACTTCATCACGCTGGTCAGGGCAGGTTGGGGAAGTGAGTGTTTAGGACTGGTTTGGAGATCACTCACCACTGATGTTACCCGGGGCAGGGAATCAAACTCAGGTTCATGGCACAGCACACTAACTACTGCATCACTGCGCTCCTATGTGCAGATATTGACATACAAGGGAGTTTGATATCTCTTAAGTCCCCACTAAACACCCATATTTTGAAAAAAACATTTCCACATCAATTTTGATTCTCGTTGGCTCTAGCATTATTTATTTACTTATCTTTGCCCTTTTCATGCACAGTGCCTTACGCGTAAAAAATTTTGTTACATATTTTCGATTTCCAGGTTGTCCAAAAATCTGGCCTAACAATTGAACTTCGGATGATCACAAGTAGTTTTGGAATAATCCGAAATGTGATGTCCCGTGGCGTCGCTCCTTTGCCCTTCCTGCCACAGTGCCGTCACGTGATTCTATTTTGACAATATATTTAACGTCACTTTCACTTGCATAATTAAAATGTAAAATTGTGTAACTGATGGAACTATATGTTCACACTTTACATTCAATTATCGATTTTTACAATTCTTAAGGGGATAAAATGTAGTGCGGAAACAATGAAAGTTATTTAAACTTAGCACATTTAAATCTGGAAATACTAAATAAATATGAAATTGGGCCTAAACATTCCAGGACACTATATCTGAAAAAATTAAATCCGAAAGACATCGCTCTCATCAAAAATTCCGCATTCGTTACCATTCCACATTGAAAGAGGAATTTTAATATAATTGTATTTGCTGTAATGTCAAATGTCCATACTTATCACACAAATACTCACCGTTGTCCTTCCTTGCACCTCCAATTAGCGCGGTTGGCTATGTACACACTCTCACACATCGCACCTAACGTGTCAAGGTGTGCACGGCAGTGTCCGGGTGTTCACCTGTCGTGGCTGTGGTGTGGCTGCAGGTGGGACACGCAGGGGGATTTCAGGATCAATGTCCCTCTGCCCCTGGTGAAGGTGAAGTTGTTTGCAGTGAACAGTAGAAAGTTGGCCCTGGAGGACAAGGAGCTGGGACGGGTGAGTCTGGCATTCAGACTGCAAAGCAGTTCCATTCCTGCATGTGGCATTACATTCATGAATGCCAGTTTCGAACTCGGATCCTGGTAGATTATCAGACAATATATTTCTTGCCATCAAATACTAATTCGTGTTTGGATCACGCAGAATACTTTTTATGGTAAATAACATGTGTATATTGCGATTGTAACGATGTAGCATCAGTAGGGTCAAGCTCTCATGATGGTTTAATCTCAGGTCAGGTTTTGTGTTAGTGCGGGGTAACATTGTACATTTAACATATACGTTTTTGCAGCAAGTTTTTGTGATTCATGATCGATGTATTTTTATTATGTCACCTCATGATCTGGTAAAATGTCTATCGTAAGACCCTCTTTCACCTAACATAGCCACTAAATTAAATTATCACGAGACCAAGCATTTAATGTGCCATTTATTATTGTATCAGCTCACTTACTGTTGAGTGGAAGTCCAATTATCACAACCATATTCAGTAATTAGATCCGCGACGTTTCATTTGAAACTATGCCAAGTATCTTAAGGACAAGATCCAGGAAGTCCGAATAATTCACTTCCAAGATGGTATTGTGACTTTCTGTTCCTGGAGCGTGTTGTACTCCCAGCCAAAAGATTGACATATGGTTAAACCACAACAGGGACGGTTGAAACGAAATATGGAAAGCAATGATGATGTAATAAGGAAAAGGAAGTCACAACCGATGTGATCAAGACTTAAGTTCAGATGGCGGGACACATTGTAATAACAAGCATCGAAGGTCGATGTTGACTATGCAACAGCTGTCGGATCGAGCATAAGAAAGGGAAGCTATGGCAGGAGCATTAGCATCAGTAGCATTGATCCATGACAACTTCCGGCTTTTTAAAGGTTTTGTTTAGTCATGCGGTGTAGTGTTAAACTTATGATGTAATATTCCTTTATGGTGTTTAATCAGTCGCAGTAAAACATCGGTGAATGTTTAACTTTCCGCTGGAGTTTATCTTCCCACGTTGAAGAGGGCCACCGATATGTTCGGCGCAAGTCCTAACCAGGCTGTGTTTCCACTGGCAGGTGATCCTTCAGCCCATGGCCACAGCCACTCGCGTCAATGAGCTGCATGCTCTGGCGGTGCCCAAGAACAGCGTGGACCAGGGGATGAAGATAAAACTGGGCCTGCGCATGGACAAGCCGCAGAACATGAAGCACAGTGGGTGAGGAGAGTCTTTCCATCTCTAGCCTCGCTGAATTTCTCTTGAGCGAGTTGCTGTTGCCGCTGCAATATCAGATGAAACGGTGACGTATGCATGTTGAACTTCATTCGCACCACAGCACATAGCCAACCGTGCTAACCGGAGGTGCGGGGGAAAAGACAACAAACTAAACACAAAAAGCAGTTCAGCTTCTTGGTTCTTTCGGTAAAGTCATGTAGAAGTGAAGTAATAAAATAATGAAAATAAAACATAATAAAACAATTCTCACGACGTTTCGGCCACAACGCAAGCAGCCGTCCTCAGGTGAAAACCAGGTCTGTCGAGGCGACAGCGTCTGAATGAAACAGCACACGTGCTTGGAGCATAGATAAGCTGGGTTGGAAGGGGGGGAAAGAGCGCCTTGACAAAATAATATGCATATCAAGAGGAATTTAGCATATTTATGGGAAATGCAGGTATGTGATTAGTACTTCTCATGCCCGTGCATTATGCAGGATTAGCAGCATCAAAGGGAAGGGATATGGGAAATGCAGGTATGTGATTGGTACTAATTATGCCCGTGCATTATGCAGGATTAGCAACATCAAAGGGAGGGGATATGGGAAATGCAGGTATGTGAATAGTACTTATTATGCCCGTGCATTATGCAGGATTAGCAGCATCAAAGGGAGGGAATAGGGGTAGCATTAATAAAGGGAAGGAGTGTTAATAGTATGTAGCTGCAGTAACTAAAACCACCACGTAAACAACTAAAGTATAAACTACATAGTATCATCAGTATACTAAATATAATATACAATAAGCTGAGTTACTAACAGTAAGTAATACATTACAATTCTACGTCGTAAAAAAAAAGATATGATATGCTTCCATCTAAACTTTATTCTCTTACATACACGAGTCTACACCGTACTATATACTGCCATAGACAAACCCAACATTAAATTATATACTGTATTGCTATAAACCACCTTATGCATTGTAATATTGCACTATGTATTATTCTACCCACCCTAATGTATATCACACTGCTGTATATTGACTATACAATTACGATACTATATATTACTTTGTACATTGTATTAAGCATATAAATGTTATACTATTTGTTATTATACACTGTACCATTGACCGTCGTGTGAAAGATACTAAGAGGAAGCAACGAAATATGTCAATGGGTGAGTAGTGAAGGAAACTTGCAGCGGAGCAAAGAATCCATTCCCTGCAGAGAATACAATGCCAGTGAGTGGAACGCGGTCTGAAAGTCACCGTAAACGTGAACACAATCAGTTAAGATCCAAAATGGTTTATTACGTCCTTCCAATGATTGCTAAGCCAGAATCCATCTTCTCGGTTGAAATTATCTCTGTGTTTGTATATGTGGATCGCCTCATGAACGAATCTCTCATGGTAGCCAGATGGCTTGCAGAGAACCTCTGTCTTGGAGAAGTCAATATCCTGTGAGCCCACTGAATTGTAACAGTGATCTGCCACGGCTGAGGTATTTGTCCTACCGTGTTTCAAGTCTGCTTTATGTTCACGGATGCGGTCCGAAACATGTCGTTTGGTTTCTCCAATGTAACTGCTACCACAGAGGCAACTTAGTTTGTAGACGCCAGGGTACTGTATGTCTGGAACCACATCTTTTACAGACGGGACCAGATCACGGATTTTATGTACTGTTTCGATTTAAAGCTTTCGTGACTGCAGGGATTCATCTTCTTGGTTCTTTCGGTAAAGTCACGTAGAAGGGAAGTAATAAAATAATAAAAATAAAACATAATAAAATAATTTTCACGACGTTTCGGCCACAACGCAAGCAGCCATCCTCAGGTGAAAACCAGGTCCGTCGAGGCGACAGAGTCTGAATGAAACAGCACACGAGCTTGGAGCATATATATAAGCTGGGCGCATTGACAAAGGAATTTGCATATCAAAAGGAATTTAGCATATTTATGGGAAATGCAGGAATGTGATTAGTACTGCATATGCATGTGCATTATGCAGGATTAACAGCATCAAAGGGAGCTGCAGTTACTGCTGCTGCAGCAGTTGCTGCTGCTGCTGCAGTTTCTGCTGCTGCTGCAGTTGCTGCTGCTGCTGCAGTTGCTGCTGCTGCACTTGCTGCTGCTGCTGCACTTGCTGCTGCTGCTGCACTTGCTGCTGCTGCTGCAGTTGCTGCCTTATCCATTTTAATATAACACTATGTATTATTCTACCCACCCTAATGTGTATCATACTGCTATATGTTTACTGTACAATTACGACACCATACATTACTCTGCACACTGCACCATGCCAGTGAGTGGAACGTGGTCTGAAAGTCACCGTAAACGTGAACACAATCAGTTAAGATCCGAAATGGTTTATTACGTCCTTCCAATGATTGCTAAGCCAGAATCCATCTTCTCGGTTGAAATTGTCTCTGTGTTTGTATATGTGGATCGCCTCATGAACGAATCTCTCATGATAGCCAGATGGCTTGCAGAGAACCTCTGTCTTGGAGAAGTCAATATCATGTGAGCCCACTGAGTTGTAACAGTGATCTGCCACGGCTGAGGTGTTTGTCCTACCGTGTTTCAGGTCTGCCTTATGCTCACGGATGCGGTCCGAGACATGTCGTTTGGTTTCTCCAATGTAACTGCTACCACAGAGGAAACTTAGTTTGTAGACGCCAGGGTACTGTATGTCTGGAACCACATCTTTTACAGACGGTACCAGATCACGGATTTTATGTACTGTGTTGAATCGGACCTGGATCTTGTGTTTAATCAGGATTTTGGAGATCTTTTTTGTGACCCCAGCAATGTAGGGTAAGGTGATGGTCTTTAAAGGCTCCTCAACAGGATCCTTCTTGATGGTTGGAGTGATGGCTTTGCGGATTGTGTAGTCGGAGTAACCATTAGCCTTAAGAGCTTGGCGTACGTGTTTGAGTTCACTGGCAATGTGTTCATGGTCGGATATGCATTGGGCTCTATGGTATAGAGCAGGGGTCCTCAAACTTTTTAAACAGGGGGCCAGTTCACTGTCCCTCAGACCGTTGGAGGGCCGGACTATAGTTAAAAAAAAAACTATGAACAAATTCCTATGCACACTGCATATATCTTATTTTGAAGTGAAGAAACAAAACGGGAACAAATACAATATTTAAAATGAAGAACAAGTAAAGTTAAATCAACAAACTTGCCAGTATTTCAATGGGAACTATGGGCCTGCTTTTGGCTAATGAGATGGTCAATGTCCGGTTCCATATTTGACACTGCTAGTCGTAACAAGTTTATGCAAGTGTGCATCCGTTAGTCTAGATCTGGTTGGAGATTTCAAATGTTTCATTCTGGAAAAAGTCTGTTCACAGACATAAGTGCTGCCAAAGATGGTTGCCATTTTGAGTGCATGGTTCCTGAGATGAGGATATGTCTCAGAGGGGAGAGATGCATAGAAATTATGAAGGCTGCTTGACTTGAATGCGTCTTTCAGAGAGTCACAAATCTGTAGTTCAGCCAGTTCCATTTGGTAAATTGTATCCACATTTTAAATGTCAATAGAAAATGGGTTGCGGAAAAGCTGTATGTCCTGTTCATGGAGATGAAGCTCTTTAAATCCAAATTGGAACTCCTTTTGCAATTTTTCCAGTGAATCCACACATGTTTTGTTTGGGAATGCAACCAATCGTTTTTCCGCTAACAGATTTTGAGTTGTAGGGAGATGGCAGAAGTTTTCCTCCTTCACTTGTTTGATGAGGAGGCCTAATTTTACTTCAAATGCTTTGACATGTGATTGCATATCACAGATGAGCTTCCCCTTTCCTTGAAGTTGCACATTGAAACTGCTGAGTAGCTCTGTTACATCTGTCAGAAAGGCAGTGCCATTTCCATTCTGCATCATTGAGCTCTGGTACTTCTTTGTTTTTTTAAAGCAAAAAAGCTGTAATCTGTGGAAGTAAGTCATAGAAACGTTTCAAAACTCTCCCTCGACTCAGCCAACGGACTTCTGTGTGATACAGAACGTCTTCATAGTCAACATTTAGCTCGGACAGAAATTCCTGAAATTTTCTGTGGTTTAGTGCATGAGCTCTAATGAAGTTAACACAAGATACCACAAATTTCATAACAGAGTCTCACTTCAGTGATTTACTACACAGCGCTTGTTGGTGGATGAGGCAATGTATGGCTATTGGATGAGAATGGTTATGTTTGTCCATCTCTTGGTTAATGCGAGCAATTACTCCTTTCTTAGACCCCACCATGCTAGGAGCACCATAGGTTGTCACACTGGCTAGTTTAGCCCAGTTCAGCTCCAAACCATTCACAGTTTGGCAAACCTTTTCATAGATATCCTCTCTTCTTGGTTCTTTCGGTAAAGTCACGTAGAAGGGAAGTAATAAAATAATAAAAATAAAACATAATAAAATAATTCTCACGACGTTTCGGCCACAACGCAAGCAGCCGTCCCCAGGTGAAAACCAGGTCTGTCGGGGAGACAGCGTCTGAATGAAACGGCACACGAGCTTGGAGCCCGTGCTGCATATGTAGTACTAATAACATTCCTGCATTTCCGATAAATATGCTAAATTCCTCTTGATATGCAAATTCTTGTGAAGGCGCTCTTTCCCCCGTTTCCAACCCAGCTTATATATGCTCCAAGCTCGTGTGCTGTTTCATTCAGACGCTGTCTCCTCGACAGACCTGGTTTTCACCTGAGGACGGCTGCTTGCGTTGTGGCCGAAACGTCGTGAGAATTATTTTATTATGTTTTACTTTTATTATTTTATTACTTCCTTTCTATGTGACTTTACCGAAAGAACCAAGAAGATGAATCCCTGCAGTCACGAAAGCTTTAAATCGAAAGATATCCTCTCCTGTAGTTGTTCCTTTGATGCTTTGCAGTGCAGCAAGCTCTTCTGTGACTTCGAAATAGTCATTCGTCCCACGAATAAAAATTAGAAGTTGTGCAGAATCACGAACATCATTGCTTTCGTCGAGTGCCAAGGAAAAATAGGAAAGTTTTTTTGTGGAGTTTTGCAAATGCTGATGCAAATTGTCTCCCATTTCTTCAATCCTCCGTGTAATTGTAGGTCCTGAAAGACTCACTGTACTAAATAAATCGGCCTTCTCTGGACACATCTCTTTAGCAACAGAAAGAAGGCATTCTTTAACAAATTCTCCCTCCACGAATGGTCTGCCAGTGCACGCTATTAGCTTGGCAACTTGAAAACTTGCTCGTAGTGATGAAATATTTAGCTGCTTCTGCTTCACAAGTATTTTGCTGAGTTGTTAATGTATTTTTCAGTTTTAATATTTTATCTTTTCTCACTTCTCCGACCAAACAATCATATGTATCTTTATGTTGAGTTTCATAGTGTCGACGTAAATTGTATTCTTTGAACACAGACACTATATTCTGGCATATCAGACACACAGCTCTTTCCTTGTACTGCATGAAAAAGTAATCATAAGTCCACTGTTCTTTGAATATCCTACACTCCGAGTCAATTTTTCTCTTTCTTGACATCATTGTTTCCTAGGGAGTCAAAATTGCTATTAGTAAAATACCAATATATATACAGCGCTACAAAAACAATATACCAGCAATAACGATGCCCACACAGAGACACAGACTGCACTGCCCATCAATGCAGTCTGATTGGGGGGAACTCCGCCCCCTCTCCCTCTTCCACCAATGACCGTCCATCTCATGTAGAAAAAAAGTAACAGACAGGCAGCGGCGGCAAAAACACCCGGCGGGCCGGATAAATGTCCTCGGCGGGCCGCATGTGGCCCGCGGGCCGTAGTTTGAGGACCCCTGGTATAGAGTCTTGATGAGGGAATTCTTCTGGGATGGATGGTGGTAGGAATCCGGTTTTAGGTAAGCATCCGTATGGGTGGCTTTCCTGTAGACAGAGTGGCTCATTGAACCATCAGGTCTCCTTTTAATTAGGACATCCAAAAAGGGTAGCTTGCCATCTTTTTCGACTTCCATGGTGAATCTGATGGCTGGGTGTATGGAATTGATGTGGTCGAGAAATTGGTCTAGAGCAGGCCGGCCATGTGGCCAGATGACAAAAGTGTCATCTACGTACCTATTCCATAAGGTCGGGCGTAGAGTGGCAGTCTGGATGGCGTCAGTCTCAAATTTCTCCATGAACACGTTGGCTACAACCGGAGATAGGGGGGAGCCCATTGGGGTGCCCTCAGTTTGTTTGTAGAAAGTTCCATTCCAGGTGAAGTATGTATAGGTTAAGCAGTGTCTCACCAGGGAGGGTACCCCAGCGTTCAGTCCTTGATGAACCAAGTCTTCAATGATTTCAATGGTGTCAAGTACAGGAACTTTGGTGAATAAGGAAACCACATCAAAACTGACAAGCAGGTCGTCTGGGGACAGGGAAATCCCCTTGATTGTCGATACCAGGTCAGTAGAGTTTAGTACCGCAGAGGTGGTTTTTCCAGTGAAAGGCCGTAGGATTTCAGACAAAAAACGAGCCAGTTTGTAAGAAACACGGTAGGACAAACACCTCAGCCGTGGCAGATCACTGTTACAATTCAGTAGGCTCACATGATATTGACTTCTCCAAGACAGAGGTTCTCTGCAAGCCATCTGGCTACCATGAGAGATTCGTTCATGAGGCGATCCACATATACAAACACAGAGATAATTTCAACCGAGAAGATGGATTCTGGCTTAGCAATCATTGGAAGGACGTAATAAACCATTTTGGATCTTAACTGATTGTGTTCACGTTTACGGTGACTTTCAGACCACGTTCCACTCACTGGCATTGTATTCTCTGCAGGGAATGGATTCTTTGCTCCGCTGCAAGTTTCCACCACTACTCACCCATTGACATATTTCGTTGCTTCCTCTTAGTACCTTTCACACGACGGTCGATGGTACAGTGTATAATAACAAATAGTATAACATTTATATGCTTAATACAATGTACAAAGTAATATATAGTATCGTAATTGTATAGTCAATATACAGCAGTGTGATATACATTAGGGTGGGTAGAATAATACATAGTGCAATATTACAATGCATAAGGTGGTTTATAGCAATACAGTATATAATTTAATGTTGGGTTTGTCTATGGCAGTATATAGTACGGTGTAGACTCGTGTATGTAAGAGAATAAAGTTTAGATGGAAGCATATCATATCTTTTTTTTTACGACGTAGAATTGTAATGTATTACTTACTGTTAGTAACTCAGCTTATTGTAGAGTATATTTAGTATACTGATGATACTATGTAGTTTATACTTTAGTTGTTTACGTGGTGGTTTTAGTTACTGCAGCTACATACTATTAACACTCCTTCCCTTTATCAATGCTACCCCTATCCCCTCCCTTTGATGCTGCTAATCCTGCATAATGCACGGGCATAAGTAGTACTAATCACATACCTGCATTTCCCATATCCCTTCCCTTTGATGCTGCTAATCCTGCATAATGCACGGGCATGAGTAGTACTAATCACATACCTGCATTTCCCATAAATATGCTAAATTCCTCTTGATATGCATATTATTTTATCAAGGCGCTCTTTTCCCCCCTTCCAACCCAGCTTATATATGCTCCAAGCATGTGTGCTGTTTCACCTGAGGACGGCTGCTTGCGTTGTGGCCGAAACGTCGTGAGAATTGTTTTATTATGTTTTATTTTTATTATTTTATTACTTCCCTTCTACGTGACTTTACCGAAAGAACCAAGAAGATGAATCCCTGCAGTCACGAAAGCTTTAAATCGAAACACAAAGCAGTTCTAAAGAAATTCGTTTTTAATATAGATTTAAAATGACATCATGCTTGATTAGATGGTTGCTGGTTGGCAAGTTTCCAGCGGGCTGTGCTTTACGCATTTCAAACGACGTGCACACCCTGATCACCAGACCAAGGTTTTTTGATCACCATTCACGTAATTCCACTGATATGATCATCAGTTAGGGCAGCCGGGTGGCGCAGGGGTAACACGTGTAACCTGCATTAATTTGCACAGTGATTGCAATTGTTGAAACATTGTACAACACTGACCCCCTATTGTACAATGTGCGACCTATTTCTATTAAGACTAAACTTTTATTTTTACCAGGTAAGGCCCACTGAGCTAGTTACAAATGATAGCCCAATAAAGTGGCTTATCTTCTGGAAATAAATCTTGACTTAAAGCTTTCGTGAATGCAGGAATTCATACTCTTTGGGTCTTTCGGTAAAGTCATGTAGATATAAAAATAAAAATCACGTCATTTCGATCGCAACACAAGCAATCGTCTTCAGGTAAAAAAAGTACAGCAGGTGGACTGTTGAGGCAGGAAAAAATATTGTGGAAATCTATAGCAGCTAAATACTCTTAAAGGGATGTTTCTAAATGTGGAGGGAAAAACCGGAGGACAGATATCAAATCCACGTGACCACAAGGAGAACATGCAAACTCCAAATATAGAGGCGGCAGGGTAGGGATTGTACCTACACACTCCTGTATGCCAGGTGAGGTAGTTAACATCTCGTCACCGTGCTGTTCTCAAGGTTCAGGTAGGAACGCATGGCATGTAGAAATTTCCTGATAAGCCAATCAGAGGGCAGGGTTAAGAGTAGGAATGGATTTATTAATCGATCCCCATTCACATTCACACTCATGCATGAGCCCTCCTCACGACTGACCACAAGGCACTGTGTTCCCAGCTACATATTCATTAGCCGTCCCAATCACTCGTACAACTTAAAATGCATTGACAACTCCACGTACTTAATAATTAGCATCATTATGGAGAATATAAGTAACAAAATAATAAGCAGTCAATGACGTGAGTGATTATTCTGTGTTATAAATGTAATTTTCCGGCGAATTAGGACCCATATCTAACGGAGAGGCTGTTGCCGATAAACATCTTTCTGTTCACCGAAATTGATGTTAGCAATCCTGATTCTGCTGATGAGACACTGTGTGTATCGAAATTGGTCCAGTGGTGCTTGTGTTGAACCAACGCTGATATTATTCACTCCAAGAAGGCCATGTGCGACTCGTGGGATGTGTCAAGAAAATACTTTGCTGTTTTACGTGGAGGGTCAGATATTTGAAGGTGTTTTGTCTGCTTCTGTATTTTGTTCCATGTACTCATGATCAGGTGAAATTGAACGACTCAGTGTCATGCATTCATCATTAATTCTTCCGACTTTATATGCACTGCACGTGTGTTTTGTGCGTGTGATGTATTATTATTATTATTGTGCTCCATGCACCTCCCGCAGAGCACACTGTAAGGACGCTGCTGTGTGGTAGTGTGAGTTGTAGTATGCTTATCGCAAGTGTAGTCTCTTTCCTAAACTTATGCCGCGTGATTTAATATTCCTGGATTTAAAAAATTGTTGATATTCAATAAAATAGTTCTCAAAAGTTACAATTGCATGCGGTTTGATGGCTACCGTCGTCCTTAACCATTTATGCACGCATGGGTATACGATTACCGTAAGGTTGGACTTTGCACATTGTATTGCGCCTAATTATTGTTGTGCTTTCCTGCTTGTAGATATTTATGGGCCCAAGGGAAAAATGTTTGGAAAAAATGGAAGAAAAGATATTTTGTCCTGGTGCAGGTAAGGATCGTGTGAATGCACAGGGTCATGTGAATGTTTTTGTTTTTTTACAACGGAGATGTATTAAGGTTAAACCTGACTGCTCTCCCGTTTATTTTTGCCTCAGTGCATCTGCATTTTGAATGTCTACCCATGTTGATGCTAAGTTTGTACTGAACTTACGCGAATCTCCTAAACTGTGTTTGCCCTAAATGAATGGGTTCCTCGTCGAGGCAATGCAAGCAGCTCAGCGTGCCGGCATGCAGCAGAGAACCCTCTTACCCGCTGTAGCAAGTTGTGTTCCTCATAGCGATGGAGCATCTGCGGTGAAGTGTTTCTTTCCATACTCGTCTTCCTTTTGAGTTCGCTATCACGGCTGCATATCAATATTTCTCAAACGCTCGAAAAAGCATCTCTCTAACGCGCAATATCATAATCTCTCAAACGCTCAATATCAGTATTTCTCAAACTCTGGATATCAGTATCTCTCAATCACTCAATACCAGCATCTCTCAAATGCTCAATATCAGCATCTCTCAATCACTCAATATCATCATCTCCCAAATGGTCGATATCAGCATCTCTCAAACGCTCGATATCAGAATCTCTAAAACTCTTAATATCAGCATCTCTCAAATGCTCAATATCAGCATCTCTCAAGTACTCACTATCAGCATCTTTCAAATGATCGATATCAGAATCTCTAAAACTCTTAATATCAGCATCTCTCAAATGATCGATATCAGCATCTCTCAAATGATCAATATCAGCATCTCTCAAATGCTCGCAATCAGCATCTCTCAAACTCTCGCTGTCAGCATCTCTCAAACGCTCACTATCAGCATCTCTCAAACTCTTAATATCAGCATCTCTCAAATGCTCGATTTTCATGTCATGGACTTGAATCAACTCTCGCTCTCTCTTTCTGCCCCTTCTTGTCGCCGCCGTTGAGGGGCAGTCGTCGATTATGCGCATGGTCGATTGTTGTGCAGCTCCGCGGTCGTGTGCAGGAGGGCTGGCACCCATGCCAAAACTGGTGCCAAAACCGATGGCAAAATTGGTTCCAAAACTGGTGCGAAAATTGGTTCCAAAACTGGTGCCAAAGCAGAGTGCTCATAGCCACATTCCAGTCTATGAAGCCTGATACAAGGCAATCTGGATAACTGGGCCCTATGCACAAGTGATGTGTGCTGGCGATATAAGGCGGTTTGATACGAGACCCGAGAAAAGTAACAATCACAGTATTTGAAATGATTTCGTAAGACTGCCACCATGAGCCCTAGAGGGGAGAAAGTGCATCATTCCGTCGTTTGACTGCTTCCAGGTCAGCCAATGCACGTTCGCCATCTGCAGCTACCGTGAGCGCAAGGCGGAGCCACAGGAGCTGATGCTAACGGACGGCTTCACCGTAGACTACACGGAGCCCCTTGCAGGTAACGCCACTGCGGTGCGGCCCCCGTGGTGGAGCCCCACGGCTGCCATGGGGAATCACGACCACATCGCACCGAGTAGCAGCAGCCAGCAGCCAGCAGCCAGCAGCCAGCAGCCAGCGGCCAGCGGCCAGCAGCCAGCGGCCAGCAGCCAGCGGCCATCAGCCAGCAGCCAGCAGTCAGGAGCCAGTAGCCAGCAGCCAGCAGTCAGCAGCCAGCAGCAAGGAGCCAGCGGCCAGGAGCCAGCGGCCATCAGTCAAGAGCCAGCAGCCAGTAGCTATCGGCCAGCAGCCAGCAGCCTGTCAGCTGGGCAATGATTGCTGTTGTGCAATCCCTATTGAGTACCTTGCTGTGTTTATTTTATTTTAATTTGTACGTCGCGCCTTACGTTCACCGCAGACGTGACTGGAGGGCGTGCGTTCTTCCGCGCCGTGAAGGAGGGTGACTCCCTGCACCTGGCGAGTGACGACGATCAGGACTGCGTGCTGTGGGTGCAGGCGCTCTGCCGTGCCACCGGACAGTCTCACAAGCCCCTACACCCATCCCAGGGCGGCAAGCTGAGTGCACCCGGAGGGACGCTGCTGCCGTCAGAATGCACGTGAACTCAACACGGCGCTCGCCGTCACCACGCCCACTGTAGAATAAACTTTAAACTATTTTAATTATGTTACCAGGTAAGGCCCACTGAGCTATGTAGTTATTTTTCAGAAGCGACCTGGCCATTACAAATGATAACTCTATGAAATGACGTATCATCACCTGGTAATTCATAGCAGCCAAATACTTGAAACACATGTTGATTCTTAAATATGGAGGGGAAAGACCGGAGGACCTGGATAAAAATCCACGCGATGCCCAGCTCACCCTGGCCACTCTCAAAAGCGAGACTGTCCTCGTCTCTTGAGTTCTCACCTGCTTAAACAAAATAAACTTGAACTTAAGTATTTATGGACAGATACATACCTGTTTCCCCATTGTTCCCCCTTTGTACCCCCGTGTTCCCTGTGGGAACTACGCAGCCACGCAGTGACATGGTAATTTCTCTTCGACCATTTAACTGTAGTACAGGTTTAATATTCTACAAATTAGCTGTAAATAATGAGCATGATATAAAACGTTGAAGCCAGTGTCTCTTGCTGCTCGAATGAGCACGGGCCATGGACAATCCCCAGCCGGTGTGGGGATGTCTCGGGGGGCCGTGGTTGTGCCCCCTCTCCATAGGGCAACGACCACAACGTGCTTCTACAGTAAATGCAAACGTGTAGACCGTAGTTACTTTATCGTAATAGGTATTAGGAATTACATACATAGGTTCATGTGGGCTGTTCCACGCAAACGTAATGAAAGTTCAATGCAGACATTAGACTTGGTGTTGAAATTTCAGTTTATTGTACCTTTGGCCCAATTCCAGGGAACCATGGCACTGACTAGGTCCATTGTTGTGGATTCCTGGGAATACCTGGAGTGTGGGACTGATCCTAGTGAGCTCCTTCTCTAGGATGAGGGCCTGTGGCCTCTGATATACAAATATTGTCCTTCACCAGCACTGTGCCTCGGTATATAGACACATGTGCAGTGAAGCTTTGACAGAGCTCTCTCATCACACAGAGTCCTTGCACTGCAGTGATTGGCTCGTAATGGATGAGTGGATGTTATTGCTTTGCTGAAAATCTTGTGGTGCCCCACCCTGTCAGTGAGTCCTGTCATTACTGTGGTGTGCTCTTTAGGAGTTGAAATTGTCTGGAATCTAATAATTACGTGAACTTGATTTGAGTGCTATTCAATAATATATTATATACTGCTATGCATTCTAAATGGTGGGAGATATATTGTTTAAAAATTGCAAAACATGTCTAGATACAAGTAGTAGCTTTTAAAACTTCATCAGGAGTAATTCGTGAGGAGGTGGAACCAGCCGGTGAGGATGCGTCCCTGCATGGCTGGAACTCGGGGAAAACAGCTGATCATTCGTGTTGTGGCCGCTGCCAGACCATACACACTCTGATTGCAACTGCTAAACCCAACATATTGCCCTCCACGTACCCAGAGAAGCCTCACTATGCATCGAGACTTGTTTTTATTTCAGGAAGTCCTCAACGGGAAGTATTGGCCAATTCCATGTTTTGGTTTATTATGCTATGTTGAAGGAAACCCGAGTACCTGGACAAATCAAACACATATAAGGAGGCAACACACAAAAACCTGCACAAATAGATTTGTAAAATAATGACTTTACTGCCATCTCTTCCCCACCTCAAAGCCAATCCCTATGACACTCGGTACTCTCGGTTTAGATCTGACAAGTTCTGGCACATTTGGGCATAGGTGAGTAAATCATCATTGGGAGCTTGCCGGTTTACCAGCTGAGCTATATGCTGACTAGAAATAAACCCAGTGCATTGGCACTTTTCCATGCACACACACCCACACACACCCAAACTGAAATGCAGATGGTTTGTGTTGGTACACCCACAGCTGATCGAGCCTCCAAGTACGGCATCGAAGAGCTGATCTGGGCCAACCCCAGCGACTTTGACCACGACTCCTTCTTTGAGCAGCTCCAGCGAAGCACCCTCGAACACCGACTCAGCGACTCCATCTCCTGCCTAGCAAGTCGCAATGCGTGAAGCGCGCGTGAATTGGGGGGGCGGTGACGCAGCAGCCCAGCAGTCGCACGTTGGTTGCTTGTTGCAGAGGTTGGCGGTTTCGAATTTGGCAGGAGGCCCTGGTTAATCCTGCGAGTGTATAAATAAGAAAATACTATGCGCCGTCTGCTTCACAGTGGCTGTTAAAATCCCATGATATTCGAAATGAGTCTTGCATTGTGGGCCAGCGTCACGGTCGAAATTTGCCAAATTCTATAAATTACTCGCAAATTACCTGCAGATTACTCAATTGGGATTCGACACAGCAGCGTCGCCCCCCTACTGGCAGACTATTGTCTGATTGCAGGCCAGGTGCCGAGATACCTTGTGCTACAAGTGGTAGGTTTTAAAACTTCATACACGTAGCAGGGACAGCTGCCACTGGGGGTGCCCATTCGAATGTTTAAAAACATGAGACCTAAATAATTTATCATATGTAAGGCACTCTGATTTGCCCCGGCATTTTGGGGGGGGCAAAAGGTCTATAAGTGTATATCGTGCAGTGTAATTCTGTCATTATCCCACTTGTTGTCCTTCCCCCGCACCTCCGATTAGTGTGGTTGGCTACGTATGGTGCAAAAGAAGTTCAACATACATATACATGTAACCCTTCAGTACACACTTCACTGGATGAAAACTTCATAGGAGGGTCCTGTGAAGTATTTTGCAGTCAGGGGCGAGAATTGCTCGGTGTAATCTCAATTGAGTAATTTGCAAGTGCATTTTATGGGGAGGATGTTTAGCCGAAACCGTTTATATTGTATGTTTTGTTAAAAGCTATGAAAGGAAACGAAAACCCTGAGGAAAGCCATGCAGAACAGGGAGAGGACATTAACTCTCGTATATGTGTGTATGTATGTTCAGCTTCTTTCGCACCATACGTAGTCAACTGTGATAATTGAAGGTGCGGACACTCCGCACAGAAAGGCGCCTGAGTCGGGAATCGAACCCAGGAGATTCTGCTGTGAGACACGAGTGTTACCACTGTGCCACCCTGCTGCCCTTGTGTAGTCACTTGTCTGATTAATGACTCTGTGTATGCACTACGCAGGGTGTGTGTGGTTGTATATGTGTATATTGAACTTCTTTCACACCGTTCGTAGCCCACCGTGCTAAATCGGAGGTGCGTGTTGAATGGCAGGGCTGGTTGAGCCCAGGGCAGGTGTTCGTGCTGGACGAGTACTGCGCCCGCTACGGCGTGCGTGGCTGCCACCGGCACCTGTGCTTCCTCAACGACCTGCTGGAGAAGGCCGAGAGTGGCACCATGATCGACCCCACGCTGCTTCACTACAGCTTCGCCTTCTGTGCTTCTCACGTGTTCGGCAACAGGTCCGGTCAGCAGCAGCTGGTGGATCTGAAAAATTGGTGTTTTATCGATATTGACCGTAGAAAACATGCTGAATGTTTGTTTATTAATGCGGGGCCCTATATAACAAAGCTTGATATTTTGAGAACCGCCCCCCACCCACCGTTGGGAAGTTTCTAGATCAGCCCCTGAGCTCAGCTCAGTGAATTGCTCTCGTTGATTGAGTAGGTTACGCGGTGTGATGGTGAGTCCAGACAGAGGTCGCCGCTCCGAACCCCCCGGCGTGACACTTGAAGCAAATGGGAAAGGTTTCTGAACTCTTCCGCCTGTTCACCCCAGCAGTACAAATGGGTTTAACGCAGCAGGTCACGTGTGGTGGGGTAATGTGTGGTTACTCCCACCTCTTCCTAGACTGTGTGTTCAGCGTGGAAGAGTAGGCCAACATACTCTATATAGGCCCTATAGAGCACGCACTGGTGGAGGCTCTTCTGCCAGCAGTGGCACGACTGGGCAATTGCAGGGCTGCACAATTTCCCAGGTTTTGCGTGCGTGTACAGTATAGCAGGCATTTTAAAATTGATATCCGGAGGAGAAATATGCTCGAAAGGGCAAAAGAATAGATGTTTGATAATCTGTGTTCGTCTAGAAATATGATTTCCAGTCATATAGTCTGTTGTAACCAGGTGAAGTTTCTCGAGATGAAACGTTTTCAAATGAGACTGGAAACTACAAATCGGAATTCTAATATCAATCCATATATTATAGTGAAACGGCAATTGTGGAAAAAGTTATTGTAAAACAGGACAATGCGATATAATACGATACCCCTGGTGGTGATTCAGTCCAACACAGCTGTACCTATGACTGACACTCTTGCCAATGAGCGTGGAAGAACATGCAGTGCCATGCAATCCTGTGTAAGATGTGTAATACTCTTCTACTTACATGCAGATGTATAAAAATAATCATTTAGCTTGAAGCATTTTGTGAATGATGATTCATATAAATGGCACAAAAATATGTTTTGCACTTCAGGACAAAATATTTGGTCATTGAAAAACGATCGCTGCAGGATGTGGCCGGGCTTCTTAGAGGTCAGAACACTGAGCCGGCGCCTCTGAATCCTGGGTTCGAATCAAGGCTTTAACCACTGCCTGTGATTAAACCGTGTTCTCAAGTGTAGTAAGTTGATGGGTCTCAGCCCTATCACCAATGACTAATCAAAAAGACGATCACATTAACTTTGGTTTTGATAAATTTCAGCTCTGAAAATTTAAATATAGGTTGGACTGCCGTGCGACGACCTTTAGTATCAGGACAGGAAAGTGCTGGAAAGTGCTGCCCCTTACTGCGTCGAACAGGGGACCGCTTGAAGGGATGTTGCTCCATCATACCATGGAAGGATTTACCTACTCTGCGAACTGTTCAAATTGATGCTGCATCTCACGACATGATGCTGATAACACAACTGGGATAACATCGAGGAAGATTTATATTAGAAAAAACGATGTTACTCGTAAAGCTGATAATACATTTATATGTTGTGCCGCAGGCCAGACGGGTTTTCTTCTGTGACTGTGGATGAGATGGAGCGTTACAATGAACTGAGAGGCCGGCTGAGAAGTCTGCTGGAGAACCAGATCGCTCACTTCAGGTTCGCACCGCCTGACACACGGTCTACACTCCCACTATGCAGCCCTGTGATGTTCTTAACGCTGCTCGATACGAATCAACTGATTGATCTTTATATTACATGCCAATATCACCCTCAATAAATTCGGCATCCGCACACATTACAGCAGAACGGGAATGGTACAGCTACTGGCAAAGGAGGTTCCAATGGTGTAAATGCTTACCCTGAGCTCTCATACTCTGATGGTGCATTGTCTTTGAGTTGTGCGCCTTTTGGCGTCATCTGGTCCAACACCATGTGAGACTAGGCTCTAAGAAAAGCTGTCTCGGGTGTGGACCAATCAATTTCAAGGACAGTGCATACATTATCAGAGTTGTGTTTCTGTTTGCATTCCGACCGCAGGTATTGTGGTCAATGCAAACATGACTCCTTGTAAAAAAAAGGTGTCAGTTTTGTTGCCAGATAAAAGGGTAAAAAACCAATTATAATATGAATTACTCATGCATAAACACATTGTAAAATACATTTTACCTCGTGGATGTTGTTTAATAGGCGTGTACAAGTGTATTAACAAGAGTTGCTGTGTTCATGCTCACATAAGCTTTAAACACCCTGGTCAAGCTCTGTTGGCAGTCCTAAACCAATTATCTAAATTCCACATTTCTATGGCAGGCACCAGTCTGCCCAATTACTACTGCATATTGTCCTCAAGGTAGTATTTGATTGTGTTTTGGCTCTGTACAGTTGATAAATTGGATTGTTCAGTTGGACAGTCTGCTATGTATGTATTTTTTACTTCTTTCGCACCGTACATAGCCACCTGTGCTAATCGGAGGTGTGGGGAAGGACAACAAACTAAAAGTATATATTTACACTTTGTCAATCTGTTGCAATGACGTTCGGATGTTTGACCATATGTCACCATGCTTCTCAGTGTGGTGGGGTGGTGAAGGTCGAGGGGCCCAGGATCGGTTCAGATTTCACAGGTCGCTGGGATTACAATCCAACTCGTCACCGGATTGATAGCGCTGCGTGGTGACCACCGCATCACCGCTTCCCCCCAACGTGGGCTGCTTACCACGAATGATTTTGTTGATGTTGAAATCTGGACTTTGGGGGAGTCATTGCGAGTGGAGTCAGAACCACTGCTTGAACACTTTGGGCCGGCGAAATGTTTTCAGAAGGAGCGGCGATGACAGTCTCTCGGGCGCACTCCTGCTGTTGCACACAGGTACTGCTTCCCATTTGGAAGACCGGAGGGTGCTCTGAAGGCGACCATCTCCCTGCTGGAGCGGGTGAGAGCGTGAACCCATCGGAGCAACGTTGGGCACTGCGCTCTGCTCGTGCACGGGAGCACACAGCCAGCCAGCGTGTTTGTCTCGGGCGACCACTATTGAAGCCGTGCTCCTCACTCGCAGATAAATCTCCTTTGCTCATTTGCCGCCTATCGTGGGCAAGGCGACCGCAAGAATTGTAATTGCCGGGGCTGTGACGAGTGCAATGTTACGTCATTTGACTCTGTGAGTCACCCGCAATGTACTCGCTTTTGTTGTCACATTTCGGAAGCTAAGTATTTTTGAGCCTGGGTAGCTACCACCATGCACAGTAAGGGCGCTGTGGGTGTTATGTTCCCGAGAGGGCATTGCATCAAATCTTGTTGTTGTACTGTCCCACGCTCCAATGTTTAGGCATCCCGCCTTCACCAATCCGCAGTGACCAGCGCGGTGAAGTATGGTCATATATCCCCGAGAAGCCTGTGAGCCCTCGTTGCAAACTTACAAGAGTAAACGTACAACATTAAAATGGCAATATAAGTGGCACAGGATAGTTGTATATTAATTCTTAAATGGCTGAGATGAATGTTTATTGTTCAAATGTAAAAGATTAGGGTGCAGTCTTACAATTACCTCCTTATATCCATGGGACCTCTCTTAGTGCCAGAAATGGTAAAACCTCTTATTTTTTCCCATTACTTTTTTCTCATTATAATTCACGAGAGGGTGCTTGACAGCGAGCCCCTCTAAAGCGCATTTGACCAGAAGTGTTGGAAGAGGTAAGGGTACCCACCATTAACCCCACCACGTGACCTGCCAATCAGGTAGCCCTGGTGGTGCACCAATTTATATTGCTGGGTGGACAGAGGCTGAAGGATTTAGGAGTCTCTCACCACTGATCCAACTGCCGTGCCGGGAAATTGAAATGAACAGGCGACCTCTGCATTGCAAATACGGTGTTCGAACCATCACGACAATCAATGTCCATCCGTTACAATTACACTGATTGATAACCCTTTATATTTCCATAATATAGTTATTTTGGGTTAGATCGCGTAAATATAAATGTGTCGTTAAACCCACAAACACCCGATAGCAAATTAGTCCGATTTGTCATGTACAGAACAAGCCAATTCGTTACTAGTACAGCACACCGGTGTGTTGGAGAGCAAATCCACAACATTTACAATAGTTTTCAACACACCAGTGTGCTGTACTAGTAACGAATTGGCTTGTTCTGTACTTGACAAATCTTACTAATTTGGGTGGTTGTGGGTTTAACGACACATATTTACGCGATCTAACCCAAAAAACCTATATTATGGATGATATTTGTTGTGAAAGCCTTTATATCTCGTTTGAAGAAAACCTCTCCTGGATTTGAGATTCATTTTCAGAAGGTTCCTGCATTGGGTTGTGTAGACAATTATTTTCTAAGGAGTGTTTACTGTGTGAGAAGAAACCAGGGTACCCAGACAAAAACACACTTGTGTGAAGGGGGAAATACCCTTGAAAGGTAGTCAGACTCGTGAACCCACTTGCTGTACTACCATATCCTGACCACCTCACAGGTTCAAAAATGTAAGTGATGCGCCAGTCCTTGTCTCCACAGCGCGATAATACAGGTGGGCTCCTTGAGACTCGTCAAGTTTCAGTCACAAGATGCCATCTTTAAATAAATGAAAGAAAGTTAGGTAATACAATTACTATAAATGATTGTAATGCGAGGGTTACGAGTTCACTGCCCGAATTAACCAATTACAGCCACGCGCGTTGGGCTATTACCTTTGGAAGCTGCATGCCCCGCGGGCACGTGTGCATGTGGTGTGCTTGCGGCTCCGTGCAGGTGTTGATGAAGGACATGGCCACCACGGTTCCTCCTGCCGAGATGGAGGCCGTCCTGAGAAGCTGCCTGGAGAATGCGGCGTTCGTCAATTACACCCGCCTGTCGGAGTATGCACAGATCGAAGATAAGCAAGCCGACCCGACTGGTAACGTGCCCAAACCGTCACCCTCTAACCTGCCCGAGCACAGCAATGAGCAGAAATGTCTTGGTTACCAACATAGGGCAACTGTGTAACTTAGGTTTGTACATATTATGAACTTCAATTTCACCATACGTAGCCAATTGTGCTAATCAGAGGTGCGGGGGAACGACAACAAACTTAACAGAAATATCAGTTATAAATAAACGAGTCTTCAATCTAGATTTGAAAGTGCATAGCTTTAGTGGCTTCAAGATATTGGAAGGAAGAGCGTTCCAGATGGCCACAGAAGCTCGTCTGAAAGCACCCGATGCAGTGACCTTCTTTGTTCGATAGTTAGCCACTTCTACAGGTGGCAATTTTTTTTCTTCGTCGGGTGGTAGAGGGTTTTCACCCTTTCCCATTTCGAGACGACTGCAAGTCACAGGGTGGGGTCCCGTTCACTGCTGAACATACAAGTGGTTAGCGTTTATGTTATTTACAGAGGCGTGGCGTTGCTGTTTTTAAAAGACATTGTACTCACTGCATAGAACTGTCGCGACACGACCACACTCTGTGATAGCTGGCAACAAATTGTGCCACATGCCCTCCCGCATGGCCTTTTACTTACGATTCTACGTACGTGTGTACGTCATCGGAACGGGGTCGGTAGAAAAATTGATGTACACGTATGTCATCGGAATGGGAAAGGGTTTATAAGAACAGGGAAAGGGTGAATACGAATGTGGCCAGATTGTTATGTGGCCTAACTCAAGAATCATCTACGAATCACTAGTTTTTGTTTTCCGTGATCGTGGGTCATGTAACTAAGGGTACGTGACGGTTACAGGATTGGGCAGATCGGCTCTCATATGAGTGTGGGGCCATAGGGCTCAGAAGGGCGGTGCCCCACCCCCTGTCACAGATTTTTGGCCTGGGAAATCATATTGTTGTGCCTTCCTCAATTAGTATCCTTCCTAGGCCTTCCAGGCTACTCAACGTGGCCTCCCACCCCAACTACAAAACTTCTTCCATGCTCCTGAGCTGTCTGTGACCACAACTCCAGTATCATTAGTTTGTAGTGATGTGCGTGTCATGCAGTCTTCAAGTGAGGATGTAGACGATCCGTGTTATCGAATTGACCCTGTGTGTGTATGCGCAGGGTGGTGGTGCAATGTTTAACTTATAATCGAACATTCTCAGCTCACTCAGTGCGAGTCCAGGCCAAGCCTAGCATTCATGACAAATAAATTCCAAACCTTTTCGCTGATCCCCCTAGGCCTATCTAACCTTAATTTATCACCTGGTGCTGTGTGTGATTATCAGCACTGGATAGACAAAGTCAAATGTGAATTGTGTTCTGGCGAAACCAATTTTCCTTGTGTGCTCTTCTGCGGCCGTCTGGAACTCTCTTCCTTCTGATATTAGTAAGCCACTGGTGGTAGGCAATTTAAAATCTAGATTGAAAACACATTTCTTTCGAACGGCTTTTTGTGTTTAGTATATTGTCCTTCCCCCACACCTCCAATTAGCACAGTTCACTACGTACAGTGCGAAAGAAGTTCAACATACATACAATAGGTTAAGTTAGTAAAATTTATTTTGTTTAACCAGGTGGGAACTCGGGAGACCAGGATGAGGCTCATTTGCAAGAGTGGCCTGGAGCCGTAGTCTGCCAGCAGAGGGCGGTTGCCATGTATACTCCTTGAGAAAATTTCAGTGTAATCCTTGAATTTGGCAAATGTGGACCCTAACGCCGGCACACGATAGCCTACTCTTGCGAATTACATCAGGGGAATCTTGGGTGCGTAGTAGTCTCATGGTTGTTATTATTACACCCGCACTAAAAAAAACCAGGGTGGCCGTCTGATTGTAACGGTGAACCTCTGCAATAATATGTGGCAAACACGCTACCAATGGGCCCAGTGACAGTACTGACCACCCCTGCGGTTCATAGGGCCGAATGGGGGATCATAAACGTTGCTTATCAGGCCGCTCTTCCGCCAGCAGTGGCGTGAGCAAGCAATCGCAGGGCTCCACCTTTACCCCTTACTGGACATGGGCAACATTGGGTTCACCCAGCAAAGCTGTAAAATGCAACGTGCGTCTTGCCTCTTGCAGTCGACTCCCTGGAGGGGAAGGAAGGGGAGGAGGAAAACACTCCGAGCAAGAAGCTGGAGGGGCTCATCAACCTGGCCGAGCTGTGCATCGACGTGCTGCAGCAGAACGACGATTACCACGCGGAGGTGGGAACCACAGCCTGCCCACCGCGCCCGTACTCCCACAAACAAACAAAATATCTGTACACTTGTAGCTACCCTAACTCTCGATTGTAAACAGATACATTTTGGCCCATTCTGTGTTCCTGCGTCATAACAGAAAGACAACCAAATTGAAGGGGCTTGCAGATGTTGTTTAATCTCACTGTTAACGATGGCCATATTGACTTTGACTCAATTACTCTGGGATGAATAGATATATAAATGCCACACTTGAGATGAACTTTTAAGGAAGGATGTCTTGGGTGCAGCTGCCCATGTGACTCATCATTCAGCACAGAGACGACTCCACATGCATGTATGTATGTTGAACTTATTTCACATCACCATATGTAGTCAATCAGAGGTGTGGGGGAAGGACAACAAACTAAACACAAAAGGCCATTTGGAAGAAATTAGTTTTTTATCTAGATTTTAAAATGCATAGCTCCAGTGACTTCCTAGAGTGTTCCAGATGGCCACATAAGCGCATCTGAAAGTGTGCGATGCAGTGATTGTCTTTGTTCGATGGGTATCGTAAAGCCGCTGCGAGGATGAGGATGACCGAAAAGGACAGAACTAGCAGCACTGGGGGGGGGGGGGGTACGACGATGACGATGACGACGACGACGACTTTCATGAACAAGTTTTCCAGAAATATAAACTGGTTGTAAAGAAAGCCTTTGTCAATTACGCACATTATTGAAAAATCCATCAGCGTTGTGGTCCTCTTGTCTTAGGTCACCATCAAAATAAACGTGAGCCAATGTGACCGACTGACAGCAGCAGTAATGCAGTGTCAAACAACTGTGGGCTGGTTGCCAGTTGAGTATCATTACCAATGCTCACTGCTGCATAGTCTGCCTCTGAGAACCACACACGCCCAGTCTCTACTACATCCACACTCAAATTTCTCCCCACTTCCACATGCCCGTCAGTCAGTCACATTTGCTCAAATTTATTTGGATGGTGCCCTAATATGAGAGGACCACAATGCAGTTATTCAGGAAACTCTGATGTTTTTTGCATAATTCACAAAGGACGTGTGCTTTTTACACGTTTGCATGTTGTCGGAAACGTACGGTTTATTTCCGAGCCTGCACTCTAATTTCTGTTGCAATGGGATTTTCTCATTTACAGATTTAAAAAACTGTTTGTGGTTTGCGGATTCCAAAGAACACAGGATGAGATGTTACTATCCTTTGTGCAAGCACTTCCAAGAGTTCATGAACAGTGAGCCTAGTGAAATTTGGGGAGCGCATCGTCAGTAGTGAACCTTTGGTTCCTAGGGTGTTTCGGCCTTTCATACTATACACCCTCCCCAAACGCGGCCAGCGACAGGGTGATCAATCCTACGCTTGCGTCCCATTCCCAATTAGTCATAGGAGTTGCCTTGTTGTTGATAGCCAACATCCCATTGGACTATGCATGGCAGGGGCGTCCTCCTCCCTGAGTCAAGCATTGTTGACTGCATACCTCCTGGCCCTCTCACTTTGGGGCCCAGTTGGGGTCTTTCCTCTTCATCCAGAGCCACTGACTGCTGCCTTCTGCCGCCTCCGATACAGCTCTGATTGCCGAACGCTGGCTCTGGCCCTTAATTCCCAGGTCTCTAAGCAGTCTGGTTGTAGATGTTGCCACAAAACCTCTGCAGCCCGCCTCCACTGGTCGGACTTCTGTGTTCCAGCCATGATGCCGTGCTTCGGCAGCTAGATCTGCATAGCGCAGATGTTTTCGCTCATAAGCCTCATCTACTGAGTCCTCCCAGGGTACTGTGAGCTCAATGATGAAGACCTTCTTGAGCGAACGGGACCAGAGCACCATGTCAGGTCTTAGGGTGGTGGTTGCGATCTCCGGAGGATAGCGATGCGGGGAATATGCTCATGAAGTTAACTTGGTCATTCAGTGTTACTCACTCCCCTCTTGCTGTGCAGGCTTTTGCGTTGGCGAGTGAACTGTTTGAGGAACACGCCGAGATGTTCTGGAAGCTGTTTTCCGTGGACATGGATGATGTGCTGGATAAGCAGCCAGAAGACAACTGGGATGCCCTGCTGCTCTTCCAGCTTCTTAACGACTACCTCAGGCAAACCCGTATGTAAAGCAGAGACATGAACACTCATCTGGTAGACACATTCATGGTTGTACGATTTGAGTTTTAACCTTTGTCATTGATAATTAAAAAGGCTTAAAATTGCCTTTCAGGCACGCTGCCGTGGTGCTCTAGTAGTTGCTGTGCTCTCTGAATTGAGTACTCACTCCTCCTGAAAGAGACTCGAAAGTCTTTTATCTATCTTCTTGGTTCTTTCGGTAAAGTCACGTAGAAGGGAAATAATAAAATAATAATAAAACATAATAAAATAAAAAAACTCACGACAGCCCAGGAGGGCGTCTCCACGGCCAGAGCCGCTGTGTTGCCTGGCCATGTCGTCATGCAATGTACCTCATCGCTTCTTCGCTCACAGCAGCTACACATTGACTATTTGATGAGCCAGCCATGTGGTTCACTTTGCCGTGTTTGGTCATAATTAAAACATTAGCATGGTGCAAAAGAAGTTCAACGTACATAATTGGTAGCAGGTACAACAAGAACATTCATAAGAATAATTAGAGAAAGGCAAGTTACATTTCTTGGACATGTAATAAGAAAACTGGAGACTGAATATAAATGTTTTTAACTTGGATAATTATCGGTACCACAAGCCGGGGAAGACCTCGAATTAGGTTACATAAGCAATTTGAGCAATTGGATGCAACTGGGGGTGTCTAATGCAAAGTTCTTGGTGTAGAATCTTGGAGAGAGCAAAATGTAAGGAGGCCACATTCGCCGATGTCGTTCTGAAAGGACGTGGCACGTAGTGAGATAGAGAGAGACAACATTCACGTAAATTGCTTGACGCGCCTCGCAGCCATCGTGGACGTTTCTGTGAACTCCGCACTCTGCTGCTCCTTGCTCTGTTTAACACAGAGTAGTAGTAGAAGGAGGAGGCTTTCGCGACCAATAGATTGCGTAAATAGAAATGTGTCGTTAAACCCGCCACCACCCGACACAGCCAATTAATAAGGTTTGTCGCGTAAACAGCACGTGCCAATTAGTTACTCATTCAGCACACCGGTGTGTGTTGGAGAGTAAACCTACAGCATTTACAATTCGAGAACAACGTTTCACCGGTAATTACAACTAGTCTTATTAGGATGCTCCTTGCTCTGTTGACGTTCAGAGACATGTCGCTAAACGTTTTCTATCCACACCTCTAGCAGTGTTATTGAGGTTCGGCCCCCTCAGCGCTGTTGGGGGAACTCGCTGACTCGTGAACACTGACGCGTTGTGCCGCAGCGTCGCTCAACAACGGCAAGTTCCACGAGGATGTGCAGGCCAAGTTCTCCCCCATGGTGGTGCGCTACGTGGACCTCATGGAGGCCTCCATCGCGCAGTCCGTGCACAGCGGCTTCGCCCAGGAGACGTGGGCGCTCGTCCAGTGAGGGAGCCCCCCTTTCCCTTTCCAGTGCCCCCCCACCTCCGTGCATCTGTGTTGCTGCTATTTTGAAAACCTCTCACGCTGCTCTGTGTGTCTCAACCTCACACCATTCGTCCCTTTACTCCGTTTATCTTTTACACCCCTCGAGCTTTTTTCATCGAGTGAGCACATCTCATCTGTCTTCGTCATTTAAGACGTAGCAGGGTTTTTTTGACGTCCAATGTTATGATTCACAAGTTGATTTCTGGGTCGGATTGCCGTAAGTAAAATGTGTGTCGTTAACCCTCCTTCACCCGACAGCCAATTAATGAGGTCAATAAAGTTGTCGCGTGAAGCAGTAATACATTGCTACATTGTTCAGGTGTAGGAGGGTTTGCGACACACATATTACTTATACAATCTGACCCATAAATCAATGTTTTTTTAAGTTGATTGATTATCCCTCTCTCTCATTGTCTATGTTTCTTCCTCATAGTCTTTGTTTATCTCTGTTTTGTCTTTGCACATACTCAGTACATTAGATGAGCCACTCATGCAATGCTCCGTGAATGTATGTTGAACTTCTTTCACACCGTACGTAGCCAACCGTGCTAATCAGAGGTGCAGGAAATAGGCTTGTGATAGGCTTGCAAAATCATGAGATACGAATCTATATACATCTGTGCGTAGGTTATACAAGTATCCAAAACACATTCCTCACAACCTCGGCAACTCCGACACATAGGGCAACCAAGCTGGTGTGCCATGCTCCAGTGCTCATGAAGTTTGTATGGCTGAATAATCAAAACCGGTCCAAAGTTTTATTGCATTGAACCTATACAGCTGAAATTATGCACTCCCAGAAAGCCGTGTGGTTGAGGGGATGTGTAAAATATAATTTTTATGTGGAGTGGCAGATATTGAAGGAGATGTATTGTCTGCCTTTTATATGTGTGTTGCTGACCAAACATTATATCATGACACCATTACAGCGTTTGCTAAAGCATTGTTGTGGTGTTTCTTGTTTTGTGGACTCAAGGTGGTATTGATAAGTTATGTAATACAATTTTTACTTTTTTAGACACACATCATTTCACCAAAAGCTTGAGGGAACAGAAAGTCATTGAGTTCCAGGACCGTGGTCCTTCCAGTCAAAATACACGACACCCAGTCCTTCAGGACACTGCCTCTGGATGATGGGCATGACGTTCCTGACCAAGGGATAGCGATAATCGGGATATTTGCACTTCTGCAGATGAAGCTTGATAGTGGGCCAACAGTAATGTGCATAGGGTTCTCAAGACCGGAGATAAAAGTGCAGGGTTGCCATTTGTTACTGGTGCAATTGCTGGTAGAAGGGCCTTCACTAGAGGGAGTTCTATAGAGCTACACTAGAGGATATTTGGCCTACTTTTACATGGTGGTCTGATGTCTTGGGAGAGGTTGGAGTAGCCACGCTTTACCCCACCTCACACAACTTATTGATTGATTAATTGAGGTGTACCCATTTATACTGCTTTGGTGGGGAGAGGCTATATATATTATTATTCAAGCATACCTATTGTTGTTATTACTTTTATAAAATCTCCGTATACTGTACTAAAGTAAACCATGCTCTTTGGTTCTTTCGGTAAAGTCATCTAGGTATAAAATAAAATAAATCACGACGTTTCGGGCGCAACACAAGCGTCCGTCATCAGGTGTGAAAGCTTTGTCTGCTGCTGAGGCAGACTGTTTTAAAAGGTTTGAAATGGGTGTAGCCCAAGGGTCATAAAGAAGTGGCCGGGGCTGGTGATGTTAATGTGAGAAATTAGCATGTAACTTTCGATTTAACTGTAAGATAGGAGGAGAGCGGCCTCCACCGACGAGTGCACGGAAGTGGCTATGTTAATGTGAGAGATTAGCATGATGTTAATGTGGGAAATTAGCATGGAACTGTAAGATGGGAGAGCGGCCTCCTCAATGATGGCACGGAAGTGGCTATGTTAATGTGAGATATTAGCATGTTAATGTAAAATCGAAGAGTGGTGCAATCCAAAGGCATGAGTGCAACCCAACGGGTGCAATCCAAAGGGCATGTGAGTATGAGAGTGCAAACCAAAGGACATGTGAGCATGAGAGTGCAATCCAAAGGCATGAGAGTGCAATGCAAAGGACATGTGAGCATGAGAGACATAGAGAGAGAGACACACAGAGAGTCAGAAATAACAACTGACATAGGCAGGTAGGATGGAAACATCACAGTCAGTTAAGACTTTACCTGGTTAGTAACGCCCTTCCAATGATTGCTCAGTTTGTACCCATCCTCTCGGTTGAAGTTGTGTCTGTGTTTATATATCTGTATGGCTTAAGGAACAAATCTCTGAAGTTACCCGGTAGGTTTGCAGAGTACCTCTGTCTTGGAAAAATCTATTTCGTGTGAGCCCACAACATTAAAACAATGATCTGCAACGGCAGAAGTATTGGTCCTACCGTGTTTCAGATCTGCCTTGTGTTCATGAACGCGGTCCGAGACATGTCGCTTAGTTTCCCTAATGTAACTACTGCCGCAGACATAGCTTAGTTTGTAGACACTGGGGTATTGCATGTCAGGAACCACATCATTTACAAATGGGATTAAATCACGGATTTTGTGTACTGTGTTGAAACGAACCTGGATCTTGTGTTTGTTTAAGATATTGGAAATCTTTTTGGTAAGCCCTGCTATGTACGGTAAAGTGATGGTTTTGGTTGGATCTTCAGAAGGTTATCTCTGCATGGCTGGGGAGATAGTTTTGCGGATTGTACGGTCTGAGTATCCGTTCATCCTGAGGGCTTGGTGTACGTGCTCCAACTCACTGGCTAGGTGGTGCTGGTCGGAGATGCAACGGGCCCTATGGTGTAGTGTTTTGATGAAGGAATTATTCTGGGCTGGATGGTGGTGAGAGTCAGGCTTTAGATAGGCATCCGTGTGTGTGGCTTTCTTCTAGACCGAATGTCCTACCGAGCCATCAGGTCTCTTCTCAATCAAAACATCCAGGAATGGTAGCTTGACATCCTTTTCCACTTCCATGGTGAATTTTATAGACGGGTGTATGGAATTTATGTGGTCGAGAAATCGGTTCAGTGCTGGTAGGCCAATGTGGCCAGATGACGAACGTGTCATCCACATATCTAGTCCACAAGGAAGGACGTAGGGTGGATGTCTGGATGGCATCTGTCTCAATTCCTACATGACTTTACCAAAAGAACCAAAGAGTATGGATTTCTGCAGTCACGAAATCTTCAAAACTAGATTGTCTTAAAGTAAGTTACCAAAATGTTGTTAGATACTACCACGGAATTTTACATTGGTGAATGTTGTTTTGTGTCATTGCAGGGGTGGCTCGGCAACTTCCAACGAACTCCTGTGGAAGCTGAATGCTCTGCAGGCCTTCATCCAGGACCTAAAGTGGCCAGAGGTGCAGTTCTCCTACCAGATGGACCAGCGCCTGAAGCTCATGGCTAACGAAATGATTGGCTGCTGTGTCAGTCGGTGAGTCCATTGGTCATGCTATAAAATGAGCAAACGCCACATCGTCTGCATTCTAAAAATAAATATATCACATTTCATTGCGCTGAGAAGGTCAACAGCAACCAACATTAGTTTGCGAATAACATGCTTAAGGTGGCATGGGATGTGCAAATTGGTGAGCTTTGCACCTGAGCTACTTTATTATCAAATACCTTTAAACGCGCATCAAAACATCTGGTGCATGGTTCATGTAGCAAATCACCCCACTGTCTCCTGGTTCATCCTTGTTAAAATAAACGTACTAAACAGTACAGTAATCAATGTCATCGTTTACACAGAGTGGTGGATTTGAGGGTGCCGCGGTGGCAAGATGCTAAATATATCGTTGGTATACAGGAGGTCATGGGTTCGATCCCGACACTTACGCCTGTATATTTCTAGTTTGCATGTTCTCCCCATGGTCTCGTGGATTTTTCTCCGGGTCCTCCAGTTTTTCCCTCCACATTTAGAATCAACATGCGTTGAATGCATTTGGCTGCTATAAATTTCCACATGATAAGCCACTTCATGGGGCTATCATTTGTTGCCAGCTCACTTCTGAAGAGAGCTATATAGCTCAGTGGGCCTTACCTGGCAAAATGAAAATAACATAAAAATCGTTTAGTTTAGAGTGACTGTTGCCTGTAGATGAGTACGACTGGTGGCCCCCATGGTGTAAAGGTAAAGCCCTCTCCATCTATGGGCTCCCAGAGGCACAAGGCAGCAGTGGACGTTGCCGGCTATACTCTACTAATGGGTGCTGAGGTCAAGACTGGTGTACAGTTGTCCCCTGTTTCACTGCTGCCTGATGGGACAGACACATTTTCAACTCTTTGAGTTGGTTTTGACCTAAAACTTTCGTGACTGCAGGAATTTATGTTCTTTGGTTATTTCGGTAAAGTCACGTAGATAGTAAAAAAATAAAGTGAATACAAATTGAAATAAAAAAACAAAAAAAACACTAATGTAGACTGTAGCCTGGTAGTGTACTGGCAGTCTATAATGTAGACTGTAGCCTGGTTCTTAACCTCGGTGAGCATACTGGCAGTCTATAATGTAGACTGTAGCCTGGTTCTTAACCTTAGTGAGTGTACTGGCAGTCTATAATGTAGACTGTAGCCTGGTTATTAAGCTGGTGAGCATATTGACAGTCTATAATGTAGACTGTAGCAATGATTATTAAACTGAGTGAGCTCAGTTTAATAACCATTGCTGAGTGAGCTCAGTTTAGTAACCATTGCTACATCTCTACATTATAGGCTGCCAGTACACTCACCAAACTTAATAACCAGGCTACAGTCCACATTATAGATTGCCAGTACACTCTGATTAAAAACCAGGCTACAATCTACATTCGTGTTTTTTAAAAGTATTATTTTTTTTTTTAATCATTTTTCTATCGACTTGACTTTACCGAAAGAACCAAAGAATAATACTTTGAGTTGGTGGTCTTCACAATCAAACGGCTGCATGTTCACCTCTCTTGGGGTTGGAGGTCTGGACAAGGCTGAGAGCATTTTGCAATTTGGTGGTCACATGGCATGCAAGGCATAATGGGAGTCATACCTTCCTGCATGTAGTAGTAGGCTTTCGCAACCAATATTATCCATAATAAAGGTGTTTTGGGTTAGATTGCGTAAATATGAGTTAACCCGTCCTCACCTGACAGCCAATTAGGAAGGTTTGTCACGTGAACAAAACGTGCCAGTTAGTTACTATTTCGGCACATCTGTGTGGTGGAGAGTAAATCCGCTGCAACATTTACAATTTGTACAACTTGAGGATGTGGTTTATTATGGATTTTATGTATCATTATGTTTCCTCATCACTTGCAGAAAGTTGGGAAACTTGAGTGATTGTGAAGCTGCGTGAGCGCTCTAAGCAGAGCGCCCCCCCCCCCCATTGTCCTTGCGCCTCTCCCCCCCGAATCAGAACGAGCAAGGCGTTTCAGGTGCGCGTGAAGAAACTGAGCGCGTCCACGGACCTCAGGGTGAACGACGCGCTCTGCACGATGCTCAACGTGCTCATCGACACGACGCAGCAGAGCTCCAAGCTGTGCTGCCACGTCGAGGTTCGGCCACGCACCAGGGGCTGTGTCACCGCTTCCCCACACCCCCTCCCCCGGGTGCGGGGCCGCGACGTTCACAAAGTTTTGCGCGTACGGTTTGGGAACGTGACGCGGCGTTCGTGAGAGCATCAATGTGTCGCGACGGTGAGGCACCTAGAGCGACGCCGCGTCCGCGAGAGTGACGCCTTTAGAGTAACGTCTCTAGAGTAACGTCGTGTCTGAGACTCCTACACCAGTGAGGGTGACTCCACACCAGTGAGGGTGACTCCACACTAGTGAGAGTGACTCCATGCTAGTGAGATTGACTCCACGCTAGTGAGAGTGACATCACAAGAGTGACGTCGCGAGAGGTTTTTTTTTCATTTTAGCTTCATATTCATACAATGCCAAATTGTGCATTGTAACTGGGAAGTGTTTGAAAATTATACATCTAGAGTCGTTGTAATTTTAACATAGTTTACGATTTTTTTATTTGGGTTTTGATAAGCTGCGTGACGCGGTGTATTGGTATCTTACAGTCTGTTGTGAGCGATGAGCCCATGGGTGAGTTCCCTCATTTCTCAAACAGGAGCTGCCTGGCCACTCCAAAGCTGAGATCGAGATTCGGAAAACGCGGAAGGAAGTCAGCGCCCTGCTCATTGATAAGGTACTGCAATCAAATAAGACCTTCCAAAGCGATTCCCTGCTCAGCTGAGCACGTGGCACTGTGCTCATCTTATATGTCTAGTGTTAATACTCACGGAATTCGGGGGTAGAAATACCCACTGGATCCCAGGTTACTGTTAAGATGATGTCAGGAAAAAAAAGAATGCCCAGGTAGAAAGTGGTGACATCACCGGATGAGGCAGGGCGATTGTGGCGCTTCCTGGTGGGATTCGGAGTGGAGTGTTTGCACGTGGCGTGAGCTCGTGCGGAAAATAACGAGGAGTTGTGTCGTCTCAATCTTCGTCTGGTGGACTCATTGCACGTGTACAGCACCGAGTCAGTTTTGACAAAATCCCCACGTCGCTATGGCAGGGGCGAGACGAGACAGCACACGCAGCTATTGACCTCTGGTACTTATTACACCGACCCAAGAGGAACGGTGTGGACTCGGGAGTCTCCACTTGCTCGACCGACGAGCCACATGCCCCTGTGAATAGTGATTATTGTAGACGTTTCAACCCCTAATCAGGGCCTACATTATTACAGACCTTATTGGTCACCCCGTGCCCTTATAATTCGCAACGTTCATCCTACAAAGTCTCATCACAAAGGATAAACAAACAAATAGACGAAAACATGTTGCCCGTATTAAAACGGCAGTACGCTGTATGGACCTGAAAACTCAATTTCCCTGTACACGATTATGGATAAACCGTATGGGTTTACAGGTATGTGTTTATAATTATAAGTAACAAATTTGAAAACGTGCTTAATTAAACTTTGATTTAAAAAGAACGTGTACACTGCTTTAAATCCAGGTAATCATTCCAATGGAATTACGTCACATGGGATCGTTAATAATGCGAGATGGGACCGTTAATTACAATCTTAATACAATCCTCATGGCTCAAGTACAGACACTGGTGTATCCTCCAGCGTTTCACCAACCACTTCAGCCTCTGAGCAAGCAGTTTATTATCATGGTCGAGTGCTTCCTGTCTAGGCTGTGCATGCGTAGTTTTATGAGAGCTATGGCATGCGTATGTGACCGAACGTTGACACCATATAAAATTGTCGATCTGTTCATTTCATTTGCATATAGCTGCGAAATGAAAAATAATTATATGATGTCACGCGGTGCACTTGGATGGTAGTTTACAGACGCATGGCTGTGAGAGTCGTGAGCCGTTACCCAGTGGTGATGGTGGCACCACAGCGGCTGTGTGTATGTTTAGCATGTGTGTGTAGCATATGTCTGTGTGTAGCGTGTGTGTTTCGGCGGTAGTGTAAGCAGTTAACGCGCTGTGCTGTGAATCTGGCGATCTGAGTTTGATTCCCGCTCACAGCCAACACCAGTGACGATTATCTGAACCAGTCCTGGGCCTCTGCTAGGTTGACTCAGCCTCAAATGAGTATCTGGTACGGTGTGTAAAATCATCGCCTATGGGGATAAAAAAGCGGTCCGGTATGGTGCTGGCCACCCCACCCCCTCGTGTACCGTGCCTGCCGTCATAGGAGCCCGCTAAACAGTACTTGCCCCAACAGTCTGCTAATGCTATATGGGAGATCTTTGTCTTTGTTTCCGCTCCTAGTTTGTGGCCGTTCTGAAAGGCGTTCTGAAGAAGCTGGCGCGATTTGACGAGGGGACGTTCCTGAGCACGCTCCTCTCACTCACGGTAGGGAGCAACGCCAGTGCTATCCGCTGCAGGATGAAGGCGTTCTGCATGCTATCACCATCTCTGATGATCTCGCAAAGCCACCATCCATCTCACTCCTGCACGTGAACTTTCTCCCGTCGCTCCACCTCCACCGTCGTTGTCCCGATAGCTACATTCTCTCCTTTGGCTGCCTTTTCGCCACCAGTGTCATCCATCTATCATCGTCCCTTCTCGCGATGATGAGCCCTGCCCCATGAGTCTACGAACTATCCTTCACAGCCAATTCCACATCTCTGCTTTGTGTTTATTAATTTTGTATCCATGTGTTCCTCTTTCTGTCTCTCACTATAATTCCAAGCGTGCGTCTCAGCGTGTTTTTTTTCACGGACAGTGTTTCAGCCATTTAAATATGTTTGTGTATGTGACCCAGCTGCATGGATCAGCTTCAGTCAGTAAACGTGTGAAGCCTACACTGGCAGATCACCTGTGAACAGTTCTCTGTATTTATGTCATAAACATTGTTATTAACAGAGTTTAGTCTAGTGAGCTAATATCCAGTGTCAAACAGCACTATCAACGTTGTAATAGATAACGGTTAACACATTTCTTTGATTGAGCAATGTTATGAGAGTTTGGGAAAATGGATGATCGGAGGGAATTCCAAAGTGTGAGAGAAGAAGTCCAATGTGGTGAGTGGGTGGGTCAGTGAGTGAGTGTGGGTAACAAGACCTACATCTCTGCTTTATTGACCTGGTCAAGGCCTATGATACCATCAGTAGGCCTGGGCTCTGGGTTGTTCTTCGTGCTTTCGGAGTCCCTGACCCTCTGCTCACGATCATTAAGGACCTTCATGATGGTGAGCGGGCCCGGGTAAAACTACGTGGCCGGGAGTCGGAGCCTTTCCCTGTACACCTTGGGGTGCGACAGGGATGTCCTCTGGCCCCCACTTTATTTAACATCTATTTCGACTGCGTAGTTCGTGAAGGCTTCAATAGCTGTACCGGGGGAATTTCCATTTGGTACAGATATAATGGGAGGCTGATCGACGCCCGGGTACGATCAAGGGATGGCTCCCTATTAGTCAGCCATGTTATGTATGCCGATGATTTGGTAATAGCTGCTCATTCAGAAGAGGAGTTGGAGACGCTGCTGCTGAGACTGGAGCGTGCCACTAAGAGGTGGAGCCTTACCATCAGTCCCACCAAAACGATGCACCTGCCTGGGTATTTTGTACCATCGGACACTCCACCCCCACAACTCCCAATCGGTGATGGGGCAGTTGTGGAGAGAGTGGAGAGTTTCCCATACCTGGGCAGTGTGCTTATGACCGGCTCCAGTTTATCAGCAGAGGTCTCACTCCGAATCAGTCGAGCGGCAATATATTTTCATCGGTTGCGTAACGCTGTGTGGAAGCTACCTGGTCTGTCGCTTCGCACGAAGCTTCAGGTCTTCTCGGCCACGGTCATTCCCTCCCTTCTCTACGCTTGCGAAACTTGGACCCCCCTAATGGAGCATCTTCGCTGGTTGGAAACATTTAGGCTGGCCTGCCTACGATCCATCCTGGGTTTAACCAGGCTGAATTGTGTGAGGAGCCCACAAATCCTTGAAAGATCTGGGCAAAGTCCCATCGGTGAGCTCCTCCGGCAGGCAAGGTTGCGTTGGCTGGGTCATGTAGCCCGCATGCCCAGCCACCGCATGCCTAAACAGCTTTTGTTCGGCCGGATCGAGGGGGCTAAACGGGCGCGGCACGGGCTAGAGAAGAGATGGAGTGATGTGGTACAGGAGGACGTGGAGCTGAGTGGACTTGCCGATGACTGGTACCAGCGGTGTCAAGATCGGCCTCTGTGGAGGAGGCTCGTGAAGACGCTACTGGGCAGTTGGAGGCAGTCGCCCTCCAACAACAACGGAGGGCGGAGGAGCGACGCTCACAACAACGAGCGGAGCGCCGGGTGACTAAAGCACAGCAAGTTGGTACAGTAGGGGGCACAGGTGGTGCATCAGCCAGTCATCTCGGTCATCTCGGTCAGTCGACCCGTGGCACCTGGGTCTGCCCTGTGACCTCCTGTCAGCGGGTGTTCGACACTTCACGTGGCCTCAAGGTGCACTTGGCCTGGCACAAGCGTCGTGGTGACGTCACCGCCACTTAGTGGTGAATGGCGGTTGTTGTTGTTGTGTTGCTGTGACCTACAGTGTGGTGAGTGGGTGGGTGGTTGAGTGAGTCGGTAAGGGAGTGAGGGTGTTGTGATCTGCAGTGTGGTGAGTGGGTGGGTAAGTAGGTAAGGGAGTGAGTGTGTTGGTTGATTACAACATTGATGAGAAGAAACAGTCTGATAGACTTGCAACACGGCTGAATGAATCAATGAGTGAAGTTCATGGGAACAGTAGCCATGGTAGACAGCATAACCATCAACTCAGTGAAAAGGAGCTTATATATTTGTAATGACGTGATGACACCTGCTTGCTGGAAAAGGGAAGCACGGGTACGGGCACGGCTAAGACAACATTAAATCTGAAAAGGAGAGGTATCTGGGGTAAAGGTAATAGGCGGGTTGGCCGAGATGCTCCGGGAAGCTGCTCGAAGGTTCCACGATAGGGTATGGCCAGAGGCGGAGCCTAGCCGCGCCTGGGGAGATACAAGCAGCGGGGGTGGACCAGGGCTCGGGGTTCGTGTGTGGATTCTTGGGTCCGGACTGCGTCGCTGCTCGACGTCATCTCTCTCCGTCGTCCGGCCACATGGAAGATCTCCTGCGGGATTCCATCAACCTCGTCACACTGCCAGCCAGTGGTGTAGCCGAGTTTGGACGGTGGAACCGCACCATGTGTGTGTAGCCAGGAGAGATGCTAATATCTAAGTGTTGTACTCAGAGTGACGAAGATAAGGTTGGCCTGTGTTGTGCCCGTGTAAGAATAAATGAAGTACCCTCTACACGACGTGCCGCGGAAGTCGCTCATTACATATTTGTAATAAATCTGCTAAATTACTGAGCCTTGGTGTTGTCATGCATAACAAGGCTTTTTTCCTGGCGGTTTCCCAGTGTGTGCCACGTCACCATTATTATTGTTATCCCATCGTGTTTATATTGAGTTATCAGTGACATTTTCAGCACTGTGGATGGAAGAGTTGGTGGATTGAGCAGAGACAGTGTGAGACTCCTTTATTGTGGGCGTCGAGGAGGTGCTCATATTATGACTCGCGAAGAGAAGGCAGTACAGCAACAATGTGAACTTCACCATGTTCGGTCTGATTGGGATAGAGTGTTGCACCCTTGCTCGCATGGATTTTAATTAGGTGAAAAAGACTTGTTTATTGGCTGAAAATATGTAAGTGGCTCAAGATGTTTAGAAATGAATGATCGCTTGTTTAGTGATCATTTGTGGCCAGGTTGCTTCTGAAAAATCAGCTAATAGCTCAATGGGCCTTACTTTTTAAAAGAAAAAGTTTTTGTAGTAATTTGCTTACCTTTCCTATACTTTGCACTCCTGTTGTATTTTTCTCCGGTTGTTGTAACTTTCGGACCCCATGTCCCTACTGGACATCTGTGAAAAAGAGCTTCATAGCTCATCGGATTCCTCCTACAGTCTAAATAAAGATTCTGATGTAAACACTCATCATTAATAAGCTGACAACATCTTGATTTCCATGGGATGGCAGAGCTGGGCAGTTGCTACCGTCGGCTCACTGCCTGGCCGCTGCCTTCCCCCTTGTCTGCTGGTTCCTTGTGCCTCTGCGTTCCTCCACTTGTGGAGAGTGAGTGAAAACCATTGTGCACATTACAAGGTGAAGAATTAAAAGGTTTGTCACGTATACATGTGGCATGTTTTCTTTACGTGACAATTCCTTACTAATTGGCTGTGTCGGGTGGTGGCGGGTTTAATGATAAATTTACGAGATCCAACCCAAAAAACTCTTATGGATAATATTGGTCGCGAAAAACTCATCATTATTTCCGTACCAACTATACTGACGTAAAAAGTGTCAAGTTTGGTTGACTGCGTCGCGAGAGCAGCGTAATCAATTTCACACTGGCGTACAAAGCATTTCCCGGCATACATCCGCATCCCAGTGGTCATGTCTAGCCCGAACGGGTGCAGATGCTTTAGTATTCTGTGCAGCACACCTTACATTGCTTGCTTCACAGCGAGCCGTGTGACATTCAACTTTAAAATTGGTCCCTTTTATGATTTTCAGAAACCGGGAATGGATTTGGCAGACTCCTACGTCACGTTCGTGCGTCAGAACCAGGAGATCTTTCGTGAAAAGCTTATAGAAGACGATTACATTCAACAGATATGTACGGTAAGTGTGACAACAAATCTGCGACTTATTCTTGCTACAAAGAACAAAGTACAGTTTCAGCTTTATCGTTTATTTGGGGTTGGATCGTGGAGGTATAATGTTGAGAGCTGAGCTCTTGTTAACACCTGATGATGCCGGGTGTAATCTTCAGTGCAACGTCGAAGAATTGTCCAAAATTGTGCTTCCTTTTCAACGTAACTGGTTTGTTGAAAAGCCAAAACAATGGGTAAACATACCACTTTACTTGATAAACTATCCTAACTCAAAATTGTTGATATTTCATGTCCAGATAACAAAGCGTACATAATGCTACGTCACTCCTCCTGGTCTCTTGAAGGTCGAACCTGGGTAAACAAATGAAACTTGACCGTGAATGTAAACAGTCGCTAAAATGCTTCATTTCAGCGTGAAAGAGTAATGAAAGCACGTTTCGTTTTGCCCATTGCCAGGACTGGTATATCAGCAATGTTCGAGCAATAGACCAGTGGCTGAAGGAGAGAAAAGACATGCAACTCCACCCTCATCAACTAAAGATCCTGAACAGCATGACAAGGGTGAGTGATGACTCGTCTACTCCATATTCCCCACCACGGGGGTTGAGGGGGGGGAGATTAGGAGGTGGGGGGTGGGGGCCTGGTCATTGCTCATGCCACTGTTTGTACCCGTAATCTGATGCTACTGCTTCTACCTGTAATCTGATGCCACTGTTTGTACCCATAATCTGATGCTACTGCTTTACCTGTAATCCGATGCCACTGTTTTTACCCATAATCTGATGCTACTGCTTCTACCTGTAATCTGATGCACTGTTTGTACCCATAATCTGATGCTACTGCTTCTACCTGTAATCTGATGCTACTGTTTGTACCCATAATCGGATGCTACTGCTTCTACCTGTAATCTGATGCTACTGCTTGTACTCTAATCTGCACATTTCCACGAACGCCACAGCGCCCCGTCTGAAAGATAGCAATAAAAGCGTATGCAGGCAGTGATATGGTCAAACCTACATTTCCTAACGTCTCAAAATATAGATGTCCAAAATATGAATACCTGAAGATGCTTCATGCTGGTTCAAGCAGAAAGTCATCCCTAATTAGCAATCTCGTTAAATCTTGATTTGAAGCTTTCGTGACTGCAGGAATCCATACTCTTTGGTTTTTTTGGTAAAGTCACGTAGGTAGAAAAATAATAGATCACGACGTTTCGATCGCAACACAAGAAATCGTCATCAGGTGGGACAACCACAGCAAGAAAAAACTGCTGAAGTAGTCGAGAGATCTGCCGTGGAACGAGGTTATATCGGCCTCAGCAGTAGGGGGGGAGAGAGAAGGGGGGAAGAGGTAGGGCAGGAAGCGGACCCTGCAGCAGCACCCGGGTCACTGGAGTAGAGATCGGAGAGAGATGCACAGAGAGAGATATAAAGACACACAGAGAGTCGGAAATAACAGCTGACATAGGCAGGTAGGATGGAAACATCACAGTCAGTTAAGACTTTACCTGGTTAATAACGTCCTTCGACTCAGAGGCAGTGAGAATTGAGCTAAAAATAATAATAATAATCGGCACGTTGTTAAACACGACGGTTGAATTTGTTTGGCCGTGTTAGGTTGTGGAGGGTCTTCCCACAAAAATTGGCAAGATCGTGACGTGTATGAAACCTAAATGTCAAGTATGAATCATTTATTTGTGCTATTTACACTCTTTGTTATGAGTCTGAAAGCCCATTATAGTACTGAAGAGTAGTCAGGGTTGGGGAAATAGGCCACTCGGCCACTCACAGCCAAGTCAATGCCATTTTCAGGCATCAGGTGTCGTCTAAGTTATTTCAGACTTTGTCATATTCTAATAGTTTTAAAATACATCTTCTATTCTACACTGTAACGTGTACTAAACAAGTTCGTCAGGCAAACGGGCACAGGTGTGTGTTGGCAATTTAACTCAATGTAATATCAAGGTTTTGTGTACAATAATCTATAAGTAATGTAATTGACTCATCCAGGATGCCTCAATGAGGTTTTTTTTGGAATGGTACTGCATTTAGATGTTTAGATAATTCCTTTTATAAGGGAAATGTTCACGTTATAAAAACCAGAGTACCGAGAGAAACCCCTTGCAATAGAGGGGATAACACACAAAGGGCGGTACCGATAGATGAATCCACTTGCTCTACTGCGATCTGCAGACTACCTCACGGACTTTTTAGTGTTTTACAAATCTGTGCGACCCCCCACCGCCGCTCACCTCCCAACCTTACGCCTGCTCTACCAAAACACTTGGCACAAAGCTGTTTGCCGCATTATAGGGTAAAATATCCACTCAGAATTGGCAGATTATATATTTTTTTGTAAATGCCGTTGTTTAAGTTGGTACATGTCCTGTTTAAGTGGTACATTTGGTCACGTTAACTGTGGGGTTTGTGTCTGTCCAGCGAATTCGGCATCAATCCATCATGAAACACATGCCATTGAATTACTATTCTGTAAATTTGTTTCTACAACAATAATAATTATTAACTTTATTTTATAAAGTGCCTCTTTCGCATCAAAATATATCAAAGCACTGTATATAAAAATAAAGAATTAAATAAACTATACTAACAAGTATAAATAAAATACAACAGAAATACATTAAAAACTGAAGATAACAGCCATGACTTTATTTGCAAGATAGAATGAAGAACACACTACGATAACAATACAATGATAATACACTCGCAGTGTCAGTAAATATCTAATAACTACAGGAAAAGCCATCTAATAATAATTTAAATTTATAAAGCACCCTTAAACAATCGTTTTGAAGGCACTATGCATGGAAAGGCGGAACAACCAATAAAAAGTGAGATGTTTGAAAATACTAAAGAGAGCAAGCCATTTTAATAAAAGATATGGGAGTTTCAATGAAGAGCTCGCAGACACTTTCATGCAACGTCGCTCGTGAAATTTGTTTCCGCACAGATGGGGTATAGGGACTTCCAGCTGCAGGGCGTCCCGGAAAAATATCTCAAGTGCACGAACCATGTGGATGTGCAGAACCGGCTCATCATGGAGGAGACGTCCATGGCCGTGCAGGATGACAGTTCTCACGACTCTAACTAGCATCACACCAACCAGTTTCTACCACCCACAACACAATGACAAGGATCGCGATTCCTTTTTTTGGTAGACCGCCGTTTATGCTGGGGCCATTTCACAGTGCTTTACGCATACCTGGCCTGCCAATCGAGAATTAGTCTGCGGTGCCGGTGGGTGGTGATGATCTCTCTGTATCCCATTTTAGTGTTTGGGGGGAGGGGGCGATTATTTTGAATTGGCCAAATTTGGACCTTGACGCCATGCCTACTCGTCTCGATGACACCAGGGGAGCTTTAACGTCCACCGTGAAACAGCGGACATGTAGCAACGCGCTATAGCTGGGTTAGCGTCGCCACCTCAACATACGCCGTATCGCTGTCCTCGCCTTCTACACCTACCCCACACTAGCCAGTGTCTACAAGAGGCAATGTGTATTAACCTGACGCATGGTACACTAACCACTGGTCCACTTACAACAACCACAGTTGGATTCCTGCACTGTTACTATGCAAATGCTGGCCTCTTATAATACCAATGTCATCCCAGATGCTACATTTGAAAAGTAGCTGAAGCTACGTCATGGGAACTGTAAGAATAATCCTTTGGTTTTCATAAAAGTTGTATTCTTTAAAAATGAAATACATTTTGTATCTCAGGGTGACACCGCCTGATTTATAGCTCACGACATTATAAAACTCGACAATCGTCCACAATCTACCCCCGTACCCACTGACTAACCTGCCACGAGTCACATAACCAAGTTATGCCGACTCTTACCTCATCGTATTATCAAAACTTTGGCAGCACTGACTATTCAATCCTTTAGCACCTTCATGCTAAACTTTTAATAGGTCTCTCTATATTTCCTATGGCAGGAGGGAAAAGGAACCGTTTTTAAACATTATAGTTGCATGCTAATTTTTTTCAACCAATCTAAGGAGGTGTGAGACGCTGCATGGATTGCAGTGACCACGGTCAGGTGCACGTGGATGGCGCATTAGTCGGTGATGTGTTTGACGGTTTGGCCTTCACCGCAGTCACAGTACAGCAATTCTGTGATCGCCCGTTTGTGGAAGATGGACTCGCATCTCCCACGCTGCGCTCAAGCTCTGTGTGTCGATGTCCGTAGTTGTCGTGGGAGAGAGAAGGCTGGGACTTCCCAGTCAGGTACTCCATGAGGTTCGTGTTTGCCAAGTCTATAGCCACCCATGATTACGTTCAGCGAGTGCCGATGACCTTTAGTAGGTTATTGATCATTTAAAACGTACCACTGCCGCCTCCCGCACATCGTAAGTTTTGCACTTAAAAACTGTGGATTTTCTTACAAAGTCGATATTATTTGCCATTTTAATGTAATTGATTACACACTGTTTTCATGTTGTATGGGATTGAACGCTTTTATATATAATTATGGGAATGTTGTTGGTCAATAGGAAACATCATGATCTGCCGAGACGATGTGCACACACTTCTCAATCTCTGCGGTTGTGTTTCCAACTTAATAGGCAACCCTCCCAAGGGAGTGATATTTACTCCTTGAATTTAACATCATACTTTCCGCAAATAGGCTGTGTGTGCAAATGTAGCCCATGGGCCAGAGCAGAAATCGGTTCCACGAGGTAGAAAAAATGTATTTTGTACCCATTTGTTTATATGGCCAATACGAGAGGTGCATTTATTCATAATCACATTCATGTAAAATGGTCATCGCGCAATTCACTGCCATTGGCCACCTAGAGAAATGGGAACCACTTAATCGATGCCACCTTAGTTGGCACCGACGAGTGAAATACCTGGTCTGGGCTCACGGACTCAAAGCAGTTTAGTACCTTTTTTAGCGTGATTGATTAAAGACTCGAGTCGTTATCATCGTAGACATTTCCATTGCAATAACATGCAGCTTATTAATTCAGCCTCAGTATTTCACCTGACATTTTAGTATATTTGCATACAATTGCATCATGATTTTAAAGACTGTCGTGGAATATTCTTCATTGATTGGAATATTTTTAGCTACTCTACCTTGTGCCCAGCCTTGGCAGCATTCGTCCCTAAATCGCTGCCTAAAGGGGTGAACGTTTGAACGTCTGCCCAGTACAGACTGCTCTGTTGACCTGTTCAGCAAGGCGGAAGAAGTGTCTGGTAATGTTGAGAAATTATTTGGTGATGCTGCTGCTGCTTCTGCTGTGTTGGCAGTGGTTCACAAGCAATATAGAAAAAACTCAACACATTCGTTAATAACAATGTAAAAACAAATATATCACAGGCTTAGTTTTGGACAGTGGTGCCCGTGCTATGATGAAGGGCCAAATATTGTATATTCTCATACCTGTCAATCCATACAGTTTACCCGTATTCTTGTACAGGAAAATTGAGTTTTCAGGTTCAATATGGCGTACAGCCATTTCAATATGGGCATTTTTTTGTCTGTTTGTATTTCTCCCTTGTGATGGGACGTTGTAAGATGAACGTTGAGAATTATAAAGGCACCGGGTGACCAATAAGGTCTGAATTGGTCTGTAATAAGGTAGGCACTAATAAGGCGTTGACAGGTATGTATTCTTCCTTTCAAGGCCAGTGTTAATGACGAATGTGTGTTGAGTCTTTTTGGGAATTAAAGAGATGACAGGAAAAAGGTGCCAAAACAGGAGGATCCCTGCACTTAAACATGAATATTTTAACATGTAAACGTGACATTGCAATGTTGCAAATGTGTTTTTTATTAGAGAATTATGGTTTTATGTGGGTGCGTTAGTGGGATTTGTTCACATCATTCGCATAAGGGACACTGCTCGAACTTGGCAAAAATGGGCGAGTGGTTCTATACAGAGAGACGTTTTGGTAAGCCTGGTAAAAATGTGTTCTCAGTGCGAGTAGAATGTACGCATTAATGCGTGTACAGTAGTGTCGACTTTTATGTACATTTGACACACAGCAAAAATATACATATTCAGATCACTGTATTTAAGTGTCTTGTTAAATGTATTAGTGTTTAGAGTGTTGGAATAATCTTCCCCTCCTGGGACTACTTGTTGGACTAACTGTCGTGAAGATTGTGCACTTTAATGTCCACGTGCACGTGGTGTTAGGTATTGTTTGTGATCGGAAAGTAGAAGTTGCAATTAATAAACCAGTCGCATCTATTACAAATTCATGCTTGGGGAGACCTGCATCATATCGCAGTGCATCGACAAAGCGTTCTGCAAACGTCTCTTAGGTCAAGCTGCGCAGTGCCATGGTGATGTCTAATTGTTCTGTAGTTAAGGCAGCTGAATTAACAAACAGTCCAAGTCAATGATGAAACTGTGTATGATCTCCAGCGTTTAACGCACCAGCCGTGGCCACGAATGGGAATCGGAAGAGGAGCGATTTACCCGGTGTGTTCAGCCACCACGGGCGGCTTTAGAGATTAGTGATGGATTTGGTCCTCGGCCTTCAACCACCATCGACCATATCTATGGAATGTATTGCCTTCCTTTGCTTTGCCATTGAAGCTATTATGCAATCATACATTGAGCACCTAACCTTCAGACGATACTGGAGTCATGTGAATGCCCAGTGTATTCACAGTGGTTTTCCAGCCCACGAGTCATGAGTATAATACAGGCACTATGCAGTTCTTTGAATGGTTGTAAATGTCCATGTCTTTCTAGTTGGTGTCATTCAGGTGCTGTTAAGAGCTTACAAATCAAACTTCATGCACTTGCATTGGAATTTCCATCAATGTAAAAGGTAAATTAGATTTTTTTTTGCATTGAATTGAAATAAAATTATTTTAATACTTTTTTTTATCTTGCAGAATATTGGGTGTGGTTAGTGTATGAGAATACTGTTTAACATTATTTTATAAATAAAATACCTGCAATTAAAAAGAAAAATTGTCTGAGGCAATTTATCGATGTGCATTTGTACCCCCTGGTCTGTCCTACAAGCGTGGAAATTCAAATTTCTTGACCGGGCGGGTGCGAGCGGGCGAGTGCGAGCGAGCAGGCGGGTGCGAGCGAGCGGGTGCGCAAATATGCATATATGTATGTAATTCACTTACATCTTTGCGTATTGTTTTTTTTCCATGTAGATTTTATTGATATCTCGGCCAGCCGGAATGCTGACCTCGCTGGACGAGGGCTCCCCACTTTTAGTGCGGCCAGCCAGAGTTTTACTGCACTGAAAAATATTCCATTTACAAACGTTTAAGCAATAAAGAGGTCTATTAAAGCAATAACCGGTCAACTTACACACACTTTCAATGTACATGAGTTTAGCGGAAGAAGCAAGGAACAGAAATATTATTTGTCCGCACACAAACAATTATTGTAATATTTGCCAGGTGATTATTTAAAAACTAGGTTTCTATCAACGTGATTTGACACAATAACAAATATATCAACGCAGAGCAAGGTATAAATACATTATTAGTTGTGAGCACACAAACGAAAATGTGAATATTTGCAAGGTGATTTTTAAATACCAGGTTTCTGTGTACATGAGTTGACAATCTAAAAACGGTACTGGCCAAAGGACTAAATTTCGCCGTCACCCCTAAATATATACCAGTAGAGGATATGATTTCTCAGATTGATGTAGCCCTCAGAGGCATAGGACACATCCATGCGGATGTGGCAAGAGCTGAAATAGCTATTATTCTTAAGAATGCTAAGAAACCCACTAGTAACATCAGCAAAAACGAACGCTCTGAACTCGCGGACCTAAAAAAAAAGAGAGATGATATAGTCATCCGCTCGGCAGACAAGGGCAATGCCACGGTCATCATGGTTAAAGATTCATACAACAACAAAATCCTGGACCTTCTTACTCCAAAATTAAAAACGATCCCACTAAAAACCTAACGACAAAAACCAACAGTATCATCACGAGTTCAACTTGCCTAATCGAACCAAGCAAACGTCCCTCTCTAAAACCATCGGCGGCTAGACCTCCCAGACTCTATGGTCTTCCCAAAATCCATAAAGAAGGCACCCCGCTACGGACCCATCGTGTCGACGATAAACTCTCCTATGTACAAACTAGCCCGTTTTCTATCAGATACTCTGCTCCCCTTCACAGGCAAGACCTCTTCGGCAGTACTCAACTCAACCCAATTAGTCTCTATGGTTAAGGACATGGTACTATCTCCTGATGACATCCTCGTCAGCTTTGATGTAGTATCTTTGTTCACCAAAGTCCCAGTACCGGACACCCTAACAATAATTGAGTACTTAGTCCAACATGAATTGAATTCTGATGTACCTGCGCTGGTTAGGCATTGCCTCACCAACACTTATTTTACCTGGAATGGCACCTTCTACAAACAGAATAAGGGTACCCCTATGGGCTCCCCCTTGTCACCAGTTATAGCCAACATGTTCATGGAAAAGTTTGAATCAGACGCCATCCAGACATCCACCCTGCGTCCTTCCTTGTGGAAGAGGTATGTGGACGACACTTTCGTCATCTGGCCACATGGCCTCCCAGCATTGAACCACTTCTTGGACCACATCAATTCTAGACACCCATCCATCACATTCACCATGGAAGTGGAGAAAGACGGTAAACTACTATTCTTGGATATTCTGTTTGAGAGGAGGCCTGACGGATCCTTGGGACATTCTGTCTACAAGAAAGCCACCCACACAGATTCCTACTTGAAACCGGATTCCCACCACCACCCATCTCAAAATAATTCTCTCATCAAAACGCTATACCACAGAACCCATGGCATTTCTGACCAACACCACCTGGCCGGTGAATTAAGACATGTACATCGGGCCCTCAGGATGAACGGATACTCTGACCGCACTATCCGCCAAGCTGTTTCTCCCACCATACAGAAACAGCCACATGAAACTCCGACCAAAACTATCACGTTGCCATACATAGCAGGCGTGACCAAAAAGATCTCCAAAATTCTAAACAAACATAAGATCCAAGTGCGATTCAGTACAGTGCATAAAATCCGTGATTTGATTCCATCTGTGAAGGATGTCGTTCCTGACTTACAGTATCCTGGAGTCTACAAATTGAGTTGCATTTGTGGTGATTGCTACATTGGAGAAACGAAACGTCATGTTTTTGATCGTGTCCGCGAGCACAAGTCAGATCTGAAACACGGCAGAACTGATTCTTCGGCCATTGCCGATCATTGCTACAACTCGGTGGGCTCTCATGAAATTGTATTTTCCGAGACCAAGGTTCTCTGCAAACCTCCTGGCTACCATCAAAGGTTTGTACACGAAGCCATACAAATATACAAACAGACATAATTTCAACCGTGATGACGGTTACAAACTGAGTAATCATTGGAAAGATGTGATTAACCATGCAAAAAAGATTTAACTACACTTATTTGCCAATCTTATTTGACAGACAACCAGCACAGTTTTACCATGTTTAGTGGTGGTCTCCCTGTTACAGGTTGAGTCACAAACCGCACCTCTCCATAACAAAGGCTCAACCTTTGTTATGCAGTCTATTCTTAGTCTTAAGCCTCACCTTACCATATTAATAAAAGTATGCGGCCCTTGCCCCACCACCTTCTCCAACCATTATATAAACGGAGTGGTAGCTTCTGCAATCTCTCATTTACTTGATACAGCTGTCGTGGCTGTGACGGTACCACCTGAAGACTGAAGCTTGTGTTGCCTCCGAAACGTCGTGATTTTTATTTTATTTTACTTTTTAATGTTTTTACCTATACGTGACTTTACCGAAAAAACCTAAGAATATGAATCATTGCAGTCACGAAAGCTTCAAATCTAGAAGGAATAGAAAAATTAGTTGTCTGCAAACAAACAGTTATCTACATTCATTGTGTCTTTCGGTAAAGTAACGTAGATAGAAAAATCATGAAAAGTGTAAAAAATATCAATACCATATAACAACCGTCATTCGGCACTAAGTGGCGGTGACGTCACCACGACGCTTATGCCAGGCTATGCCAGGCTATGCGCACCTTGAGGCCACGTGAAGTGTCGAACGCCCGCTGGCAGGTGACAGGGCAGACTCAGATGCGACAGGTCGACAGACAACTGGCTGATGCACCACATGTGCCCCTACTGTGCCAACTTACTGTGCTTTAGCCACCGGGTGCTCCGCTTGTTGTTGTGAGTGTCGCTCCTCCGCCCTCTGTTGTTGTTGGACGACTACCTCCAACTGGACAGTAGCGTCCTTCACGAGCCTCCTCCACAGAGGCCAATCTTGACAGCACTGGTAGCAGTTATCGGCAAGTCCATTCAGCTCCACATCATCCTGTACCATATCACTCCATCTCTTCTCTAGCCCATGCCGCGCCCGTTTAGCCTCCACGATCCAGCCGAACAAAAGCTGTTAAGGCATGCGGTGGCTGGGCATGCGGGCTGCAGGGCGCAGCCAAACCTGCTGGATGGATCGTAGGCAGGCCAGCCTAAATGTTTCTAACCGGCGAAGATGTTCCATTAGGGGGGTCCACGGTTCACAAGCGTAGAGAAGGGAGGGAATGACTGTGGCCGAGAAGACCTGAAGCTTCCTGCCAGAGCGACAGACCAGGTAGCTTCCACACAGCGTTACGCAACTGATGATGATGGATGACGATTATGAGATTGGCTGCCTAATCATGGGGGTGGTGAGAACGGACGATAGGAATTGGCTGACGACGATGGCGGTGAGCATCTTTGCAATGATGGCAGTGGTGAGGATAGTAGAGATGTACGTACGTTGAACTTCTTTCGCACCGTACGTGGCCAACCGTAGATGACTGCGATACGATGGTGGTAGTGCGGCGAGAGGCTAACATCGGTGTGCTGCGTGCACCATGAACGCGCGTGGCAGGCCCCGGGGTTCCCGGGACGCACTGTGTGCACCCGCGCACCTTGCAGGCGAGGCGCCGGCGGCGCGTGTTGCACGCGAGCGAGCCGCACATCAGCACCCCCTCCACGGTGGCCACGTGCATCAGCCAGGGCAGCCTCGTAGAGCACGAGGACGTCCTCATCGAGCAGGACCTCTTGGAGGACGAGAATTGGCACCACTGACCGTGCCGTGAGCGGGGATCGAACACGAGTCGCGCGCGAGCCTCCTCCGCTCCTTTGCGTTGGGTCGTGTTTTTAAATCGAGCTATACAAGTTTATAAACCCAACGCCCTTGTTTATCGAAGATGGGGGTGGATGGACTGTGCGGTGGTTTTTGTGCATTGTGCTGTGAACCTAGCGAAGTAAGTTCGATCCCCGGCCACTGCTAAAAAGCAGTGCGGAGTGGTATCTGAACTGGTCCTGGATGCCCCCTTTGTTAAACCGCACTGACAAGCTGAGTGAAGTATGGTTAAACATTCCTCGTGAACAACACTGCTTTAGGATATTTGACCATTTCTTTTTTGTCCCAAATTTTTATTCCTAAAAAAATATTTTATTCCACATCCTCCCTTGCATCATACATTGCGATATTTTGACACTCCGGGCAGCAGTTCCAAGGGGCATCGAAGGTATCGGGCATACTGGACTTATCAGGGCAGGCTGGAGGTTTTTTCCTCCTGTTTAAAGTGCTCTTGTAATTGTTTTGAACCGTGTTTTGAACTTTTTGTGTTTATTCACATTATAAACAGTGATGTGCACGAGGTGAAAATGTTCCGAAAAAAAGTATTTGCAGTCGGCATGTGAGACGTGATAACAATGGCTCTTTTATGCATCATGCTATCGTGCTGTGTAGTCAGATGGAAATTCAGTAGGTACCTTGAAACACGCCGTAATTGTTTCTGTGGGGTGGTTTATTTGAAATGTATCGGTTAGTGGAGGTCCACTGGCCAACTGGAGAGCATATACTCTATACGCGGCTAATCTGTATGCTTTGATGTATGTTTGTTTCTATACTCTCCACGAAATTCAATTAACAAGGAGTCTTTTGAAAACTAAAGTAGT